CTGGTCTCCCATTGACCTATGAGCCTGCTGCATGTAACAGTAGCTGGTCTTCCATTGACCAATGAGCCTGCTGCATGTAGCAGTAGCTGGTCTCCCACTGACCAATGAGCCTCCGCATATGTAGTTCTAGCCCATTGGTCTTAACTGAAAAAGTTCAGTTTTCAGTTAATTATCACTTGTCAAAGGAGGGCATGAGTAAGGACAATTTTTTAAAACTATTTATTTTTTAATTTAAATTAGAAACAATCTTATTTTACATATCAATCCCAGTTCCCTCTTCCTCTCATCCTCCCATGTCCCTCACCTACCCCCCATCCCATCCCTCTTCTGCTCCCCAGGGAGGGTGATGCCTTCCATGGGGGAATCTTCAAAATCTGTCACATCATTTGGGGCAAGGCCTAGGCCCTCCCACGTGTGTCTAGACTGAGAGAGCATCCCTCTATGGGGAATAGGCTCCCAAAGTCCATTCATGCACTAGGGACAAATACTGTTAAGTAAGGACAATTTTTAACAGCAGTCCATGGGTTGTTAGTGAGCAGTTAGCCACTTACCTAGGAACAGGGACAAGGTCAGGGCCCTTCTATTGGACAGTAACACAGGCAAGAGTCCAATTGGTTCCCTTTCTCACACACACACACACACACACACACACACACACACACACACACACACACACACCCGTGATAAATGGCTTTCTTTCTGCTCTGTGAATGGAGAGCCTAACACACCTAAGGGCTCTGCTGTCAACTAAAACGGCCACTAATGTTTTACGGCCTCTCAGCTGATATGGGAGTCCCATTTCTGTGTTACTGCTGTGAAGGGATACAAAATCATTGTAAGAGTCAGGTCTGCTCTCTGGTCCTTAGGGGATGGTTTGGGCACTTGTTATCACTGAGAGTTGTCATTGGGATGTGATAGACCATGCTGCAGAACACTGTCATTAAAAAGAAGGAAGTAGGCCGGGACAGTGGTAGTCCACGCCTTTAATCCCAGCACTGAGGAGACAGGCACACTTGGTCTGCATTGTGAGTTCCAGGATAGCCATGGCTACACAGAGAAACCCTGTCCTGAAGAACAAGGAAGGAAGGGAGGGAGGGAGGGAGGGAGGGAGGGAGGGAGGGAGGGAGGGAGGGAGGGAGGAAGGAAGGAGGGAAAAAAAGAAATACTGAGACAAAAGATAATGGCATAGAAGAACCTTGCCCACATGACACATGATATCTGTGAGTTTGAGGTCCAGCTTGGTCTCCATAGTAAATAACTTCCAGCATCGCTAGGGCTATAGAAAGGCCAGGCAGGAGTCACTTCTATGACTATGGATTTTCTTAGACAGGGAGATACAATAATCTAAAATTAGATTTTTGGAATTCTTTTCTAACTCTGAATATTCAGGCAGTCCTCGGTGTCTATGAATGCTGTTTGCTGAATCAATCAACTGTGGATGGAGAACCTCTTGGCAATTTTTTTTGGTCTGTACTGAATATGTATGAAAACATAACCACTATCGTGGACTAAACGCTGCTGGGATGTCAGGAGAACACAAGGGCTATGTTTGCTGCCGGCAGAAGTCCGATTTCTGTGCAGGGCAAGATGCAGCTGTACCAAGGCACAGCCGGGTTTGGGCGCAAGACAGAGACATGGTTGGGCCGAGTGGGAAGGCAGGATTGGTAGGAGCCTCAGAGGCCAAGAGGGTTTGGGTCTTACTTTATATCAAGGGTAAGATTTGGATGAGGGCAGCTATGTGAGGCTATGTAAACCAATGTGAATGACATAGGTTATCCCAGGATGGCTCTAGGAGCAGGAGAAGGCAGTCTGGAAACAAGAAAGCTGGTTCCTGAAGGTTTTGTAGAGCACAGAGATGACTTTCTTTTCCACATTGGTCAACACTGACAGGAAGTTATGGCCATGCAAAAGGGCTGATTCCCTGGCTCCTCCCCTTGGGATCGGCTCCTCTTGTCTTTTTTTCCCCTTTTGCCAAGTTTCCTTGGGAACTGCTTTTTGTCTCTGGGACCTGAGTGAACGGGCAGGCTGTTTGATGCCCGAGTCTTGAGAATTTGAGTTCACTGTTGACCAATGGCTGGTGCAGTTCCCGAGCAGCAAAATATTTAATCAGTGAGATCACTTGAGGGAAATGAGATGGGATCAATAGGAGGAGCGTTTGTTGTGCTCCTTCAGGGTCAACTTCCAAGCTGTTTTTCTTCATTTGGCAAAACCATGAACCATAAAAAAATGGAAGGAATAGTCTGCCACAGCTATTTTTAACCAGCTGTGTGTTCTGCTCTCCGTGGTGCACTCCTTGGCCAGATTCACAGAAATAAACATGTGCTAGCCTGCTGGTACCCGGACCCTTTTAAAGGAGTTCTCCTTTCTCCGTGGCCCAGTATTTAGGAGAAAGGCTGATAAATGACAGTGTGCGAGCTCTTTGGAGGAAGAACCATGTTGAGCCCCCGTGTACCTAAGGTTTCTAGTACAAACCAATGGAGCGCTTCAGAAAGAGTCATTAAAGTGAGAAGCTGGAGCGATGGCTCCTGGCTAAGAGGATCCAAGTTCAGAGGATCCCATTTGGTTTCCACCACCCCGTCAGGTGTCTTACAGCCGTCTGTGACTCCAGTTTTAGGTAATCTGATGCCTCTGGCCCCCATGGGGACCCACACTCGTGTGCACATGCCACAGACACAAACACGTACACATAGTTAAAACATCTAAGACAGGCGTTGGTGGCGCACACCTTTAATCCCAGCACTCGGGAGGCCGAGGCAGGTGGATCTCTGTGAGTTCGAGGCCAGCCTGGTCTACAGAGCTAGTTCCAGGACAGCCTCCAAAACAATACAGAGAAACCCTGTCTCCAAAAACAAAAAACAACAAACAAAAAATCTAGACCAGAGAGTGACTAGCAGTGCTGTAGCTCAATGGCACAGCATTTGTCTAGTGTGTACCAAGCACTGGGCTCCACCCCCAGCACTGAAAAAAAAAGTGAGGGTTGGGGAGTCAGATGTGTCGGGGCCAGTCTGTGCTCCACAGTGAGTTCAAGACACCCTGAGACTCCGTCTCAGAAAACACAAATCTGGGTATAAGCCAGGTGTGGTGATTTATACCTGTAACTCCCAGCACTCAGGGTGAAAAAGCAGGTGGATCTCTGTGAGTTCTAAACCAGCCAGGGCTACAAAGTAAGACCCTGCCTTTAAAAAAAAAAAGAAAGAAAGAAAGAAAAGGCCTGGATATGGTGGCACATACTTATAATCCCTAAATGGCAGAGGCAGAAACGGAATGACCACAAGTTTTGTGTGTTTAGGATACATAGCAAGTTTTGTCTCAGAAAACCAGTAAATAATGGCCGGAGTTTAAAAAACAAAGAGAACTCAGGAAGAAAGACCATAGGGAGAATGCCCATGTCTTTGGATCCACAAGTGTTTAATTGGGCAGCTCTTGATGGTGACCCATCCCATCCTCTCACCAGATGGTGGTGAGACTTGGCTTCCAGGAGGAGGTAGGTAGGTACCAGTCTGAACACTGGTGAGTATCTAGAAAGAGGCAAAGGATGGGGTCAGAGCAGAGCCGAGGGCCAGAACGCTAGTTCAGAGTCTTAGGCACCTGCGCCCAATTCTACTCAAGCCTAGGTGGGTGGCAGGCTGAGGGGCGCCTGGTACTTTCTTTTAGAGGAAGAGGCTAGTCATACATTTGAACGCCCGAAAAAGAACGGGAACTTCTTTGCTTCCTTCTTAGCAAAGGGATTTATTCGACCATTGTAGCTGGCTACTTACTAGTAGTGCCAAGAATATAGGTCTTCCTGATGACACAGCGAGTCAGTCAGCTCACGAACTAGAGGGGTGGGTGTGCTCCATAGCATCAGATCTTCCGGTAGTTCTAGCACTTTCTGCCTGGGATGCCTAGGGTGTGTGTGTCTTAGCTACTTTTCTCTTACTGGGAGGAGACACCAGAACCAAGGCAATTTATAAAAAGAAAGCATTTAAATTTGGGGCCTGCTTACAGTTCCAGATGAGTCTATGACCATCTAGGTGGGGAGCATGGTGGCAGTCAGGCAACCATGGTACCAGAGCAGTAGCTGGGACCTTACATACTATCCACAAATTGGAGGGAGGGATGGACAGACAGACTGATTGGGAGAGACTGGGCCTGGCTTGGGCTTTTGGAACCTCAAAGCCCACTAGCAGTGATAGTTCATGCCTTCTAATCCTGCTGAGAACAGTTCTGCCAGCTAGGGACCACACATTCAAATATATGAGCTTTTGGGAGCCACCCTCATTCCAGGCACCGCAGTGTGGTGCTGTGTCGCTTGAGGAGGAAGGTGGGGTGCAGGAGAGCGTGTGCCCAGGCAGCGGATGAGAAAGGGTTTATGTGTGCCGTGTCTGCTGCCAGAGCAAATGTGCGGTTGTGGCAGCTGCAGGCCTCGGGCCTAACACCTGTTCTCTGGAGGCTCCCCTGAGCTGACCTCTCCTTGGCTGCCCCTCCCACACGTGCATCTGTGTTGCTGGAGGGCCAGGCCCCCACCCTCGCCGAGTCACGTGGACCCAGAGTTCTGATCGGGCCAAATGCCTGCTCTCATCTTGGGCGTGGGGGCTGCTGGGTTTATTCCCTAGGGAAAGAGTGAAGCTGACAGGACTGGAAAGGAATGGGGTGTTCCAGTGGGATGTGGCTGTTCTTGGCAAAGAACTGAGCAGCATATGGGGAAGAGGGCATTCTAGATACAGGAACACCTTTCCCCTTAGGATGGAGGAAACCGAAACCTGCTTAATGCTGCTGCAGCTGCTTCCTAACTCCGGCCTCTTTCTTCCTTGACTTACAGAGAAGTGGGGTGGAGGAGAAGATCTGGGACCTCAGGTTGCCCATCATTTCCACCTGGCACATAGTCCAGTCCCCAGCTCTGTGGCCTCACTGAGGCCTGGACAGTGCAGTCAGTGGCCTAAGGCTCACCTAACTCCCTTTCTCTCTCCTCCTCCTTTCCCCACTTGGCTCTTCTTCCTGGTCCCTGTGGGTGGCTGCAGCTCAGCCCTGGGGAGTCCCTGTGGAAGTGGAGTCTCTCCTGGTCCACCCTGGTGACCTGCTACAGCTTCGCTGCCGGCTGCGGGATGATGTGCAGAGCATCAACTGGCTGCGGGACGGGGTGCAGCTGGCGGAGAGCAACCGCACCCGCATCACAGGGGAGGAGGTGGAGGTGCGGGATTCCATCCCCGCTGACTCCGGCCTCTACGCTTGCGTGACCAGCAGCCCCTCTGGCAGCGACACCACCTACTTCTCCGTCAATGTCTCAGGTTGGTAGCAAAGCCCTCTCCCCATCCACTCCTCCAACTTGGTTTGCTAGTTTTAAAGGGAGGCCGACTTCCTTCCCTTCCGTGGTCTCCCCTCCTCTGCTTCGGAACTGCTGCCCACTAACATCGCTCCCTGCCCGCTGTGCTGCGTGGCTTAGCTCTCAAGAGGTTGACCGGGGGTGGCAGATGCCAGGCCAGTGACTCAGGGCTGTGAAGACCCTTTCCCCACCACAGCGAGTCCCAATCATGCTAAGTGGGGCTCAGCCAGCTTCATCTTGTCAAGGCCTGGGGCTAGTGATTGGAGCCTGAGAGCTTATATATGGTAAGGTTCCTGCTGTGGTGGGAAGGACTCAGGTTTACCACCATAGCCTGGCTTTGTGGGTGGGTGGGGGGACACCTGTTGTCCAGCTCATGGAACGGTATGAGCACGGCCAGGTAAGCCCAGAGCTCTTGTTGCTGAGAATATGATTGCGGTAGAGTGTGATTTCCACAAAACCAGGATCTGAGAAAGGAAAGCTGCAACTTTCCTGATGCCAAGATGTGATTTGATACCTTCTAGCAGGCATCATGTAGAGCTTGTCCCCAGTTGAGGGACATGCCTCCCTAAACCCCAAGAGTGGCAGGGGGGGATAGAGAGAGAGACTTTTGGTGAATGGATAGCGAGCCCCCCCTTTTTTTTTTCTTTTTTGAGACAGGATCTCTCTACACAGCCCTGTCTATCCAGAAATCACTATATAGACCAGGCCAGCCATAAAACTCACAGAGATATGCCTGCTTCTACCTCCCAAGTGCTGGGATTAAAGGTGTGCCCACCACACCCAGCCTGTTTTTAAATGGGTGCATCCCAGTTAGGGAGTGAAGGCAGTTGTATCGGACATGTTGGTGCACACCTTTAATCCCAGCACTCTGTGAGTTTGAGGCCAGCTTGGTCTACATCCCTACATTGTGAGGCCCTGTCTTAAAACATCTATAAAAAAGGCGCTCCGGGGCTGGAGAGATGGCTCAGCTGTTAGGAGCACTTGATAATCTTGCAGGGAGTTCCCAGCACCCACAGTGTGCTCACAATTGTCTGTGACTTCAGTTCTTGGGGATCCAACACCTTCTTCTGGCCCCCTTGGGCTCCCACATGCACATGGTACATGCTCATACAGGCTCAATACATATACATAAAGAAAAAAAAGAAATCTTTCGGGGGAGAGAAAGAGAAAGAAAAGCAGGCAGGCCCCTGCCCTCAGCATGTCTACACTAGAGGATCCCCATGGTAGGCTGTTCATCTTACGGTTTTAGAAGTAGCTTCAAGACCTGCCTGGGTTTCTCAATGGGATGTCCAAAGAAGACCAATTCCTCAGCTGCTATTGTGGATACCCAGGTGGTGCTGTTAGCTGAGAGGCCTCGGTGTATAGGCTGGAATTAAGTAAACTTGGGGTGGGGGGGGCAGCTGGCCCTGCTGGAGCCATCTGCCCTTCAGGAGAAGGGGGCAGAGCATTGGGTTGGGATGAGCACTGAAGCATGCTGGTCTTAAACTGTCACTGAGGCAACGTTTGGGAGAACTGGAGTACTTAGGGGATGGATGGGTGTGTTGCCCGTGACTGCACTGAGCAGTCCTGTTTGGGTGACAATCTGGAAATGCTCAGAAGTGCCTCAGGGCCCCCCATCCCCCTTCTTCTCACAGATGCGCTCCCCTCCTCGGAGGATGATGATGATGATGATGACTCCTCTTCAGAGGAGAAAGAGACGGACAACACCAAACCAAACCGTAGGCGTGAGACACTGTTTTCTACCTTCTTTACTGACTTTGAGACATCGGGAGTTGAGATTTAGGGGAAGGGCTGCCTAAATGGGAGGAGAGAGGCTCGGAGGGCCTGTGGGCCATGGTGCCTGGCTGCTGCCCCTGTAGGTGGCCTGAGGTATTGAGCAGATAGATGGGGTGTGTGTGATCCTGCCTGGGCCCTTGCTTCTGAGTATTCCTCCTTCCCTCATCTGTCTCCCTTGACTTTTCCTGGGCAGCTGTAGCCCCATACTGGACATCTCCAGAAAAGATGGAAAAGAAACTTCATGCTGTGCCAGCTGCCAAGACGGTGAAATTCAAGTGCCCCTCCAGCGGTACACCCAATCCCACTTTGCGCTGGTTGAAAAATGGCAAAGAATTCAAACCTGACCACCGAATTGGAGGCTATAAGGTACGTGTGTGTTCATATCCAAGAGAAGTTAGAAGACATTGGATGGAGGGCTAGGATAGGAAACCCACACTAAATACCTTTATTATTTTGTTGTTTTAGTTGCCCCCTTGTGGGGGTGGGTGTCTAGATAATTTCTCTGCGTAGCCCTGGCTGGCTTAGAAGTCACTCTGTAGATCAGGCTGGCCTCCAACTCAGAGATCCACCTCTGCCTCCTAAGTACTGGGATTAAAGAATATGTGTGCCACTATGCCTGGTCATCTTAAAGGACTTTTCTCAGGACAGATTACTGGAAATGAAATTATCAGATAGAGGAGTGTAGGTATGTTTTAAGCTGTCAGTACAAAGAACCCACCCCCCCTTCCCTTCCCCTTCCCTTGTCCTTCTGCATACCAAGCCCACACTGAGTCACATCTTCAGGCCCCAAGTCTAAAAGGGAAAACCAGTCACCTCCCCATAAGAGAACCTGAGAACGACAAACTCACTAGACCTCTGCCAAGAAATACAGCATATCAAAGCATTTGTGTGGCTTATTGATACCATTAGGCGGTTCCTAGGCTGATAAGCTTCTTCCTTTCCCTCTGGGTCAAGTCCTTCATATTTGTAGGAAGAACAGTTGGATGAGAATCTCTTCCTCCGAGATCTAATGATCCTCAAGGTTCCCAAATAGGTCTCATCTCACCTAGAATCTCTTCTCTTTTCTTTTTTTAAAAGAAGGAATGTGGAAACGCTTTACCTTAACTTACCAAGTACTTGGCTGTATGCAAGTTGCTGTGCTTCAGCTAGGACGAGACAGCATTCTGGCCTATGAAGATTTTTTTTTTAATATTTTATTTATTGTGTATACAGCCTTCTGCCTGCAGGTCAGCAGAAGGTACTAGATCTCATTCAGGGTGGTTGTGAGCCACCATGTGGTTGCTGGGAATTGAACTCAGGACCTCTGGAAGAACAGTCAGTGCTCTTAACCTCTGAGCCATCACTCCAGCCCTGCCTATGAAGATTTTTGTAGCCTAATAAGAAGGCAAATGTCAAAGGGCAACTGTGGTGAACAGCTGTTCGGTTAGTACCTTGGAGGAAGAGCAGAAGGAAGGTTGAGCACAGATCTGAGCATTGTCAGCAGGAAGAAGAGATAGGGTGTTTTGTTTTGTCTTAATTGCATTTTCATTCATTTTGTGGGCAAGCAGTGGTGTGTATGTGGACATCACAAGACAACTTGCAGGAACTGCTTTTCTCCTTGTACCATGTGGTGCCTAGGGATCAAACTTGTCAGGCTTGGTGGCAAGTGCCAAGCCTGAGGAGTTGGCTTTTGAGACTCGGTGTGCAGAATAGCAGGAGAGCCACATCCAGTGTAGGAATGAGATTGATGGGCGTGGAGAGGGTTACCAGGGAGTTTAGGGGAATTTGCCAAAGGCACATTTGTGCAAATCATGGCTGCTCCTGAAGCTACCGTGAAGGTGTCCAGGGTTTTCACAGCGTCCTAACTTAGACCACGTGGCATGTCCTGAGTGTGAATAGGCTGAGAACTAGCCCCTCCTGCTTTGTTTTGGCTAACAGTGCGGCACTGGCAACACGCTACCTGTTGCCATCTGCCCCTCCCCCGGCGTTCAACAAAGCCCTTTGCCTGTGTCCTGCAGGTTCGTTATGCCACCTGGAGCATCATAATGGACTCTGTGGTGCCCTCTGACAAGGGCAACTACACCTGCATCGTGGAGAACGAGTATGGCAGCATCAACCATACTTACCAGCTTGATGTTGTAGGTAAGAAGACCAAGGCTAAGGTGGCAAGAGTCAGGGCAGGAAAGGTGGCCGAGGTGTCAGAGGCCCTGGGGATGAGGCTGGACATTAGGCACTGTGCTTCCCACTCTGAGCCCCTCCCTCCCTCCCTTCCTCCCTCCCTCCCTCCCTCCCTCCCTCTCTCCCTCCCTCCCTCCTTCCCTCTGTGCCTTCTCTTCCTCCCTCTCTTCCTTCCTATTTGATTTATATCAATCTCAGACCTTAAGCCCAGGCTGCTTTGGAATTCACTGTGTGTACAGCTTGACCTTGAATCCATGGTGTTCCTCCTGCCCCAACCTCTCAAGTGCTGGGATTACAGGCATGAGCCTGTCTTAAGCCTCACTTTTCTTCTTTCTTTTGTTTTATTTATTCATTCATTCATTCACTCATTTACTTATTTGGGACAGGGTCTCAGTATGTCCCTGGCTATCCTGGAACTTGCCATGTAGACCAGGCTGACCTTGAACTCACCTGAACTCACTCTGCCTGCCCTGCCTCTTGAGTGCTGGGATTAAAGGCATTAAAGGCACGCACTACCATTCTTAACTCACTTTTTTTTTTTCCCATTCATTCATTAAGCAACCGCTACTGTGTCTTGATGCGGTGGTGAGAACTGTAGCATAATAGTAGCAGTTGCTTAATGAACACCACTAACATACCAGGGTCTTTAAATTCATGCCCTGGACTTTGTCCTTTGTGTCCTCAACAGTATAGGCACAATTAGAGTTGCTGTAGGCCAAGTACACACACTGAGATTCAGAGGCCAAGTGCCTTTGAATATAGAATTTCAAGCATCAAAAAAAATATTAAAAATAAAAGAGTCTCAAGCAAGTCTACTTGGTGGCGTTTCAAAAGACAGGAAGAACAGTGTCTTGTTTGTCTCGGGGCTGTGATTACAGAGATTGTAGGCTTTCTGTTCTGTAGGGTATATGGTCCAGAGCCTCAGAACCAGCACCTACCTTGACATTGATGCAGTTCAGGAAGATGACTCTGGTCGGGAAGATCTGGGGAGGCTCTAAGACACTGGAATCTGGGAGTGTGTCTCTGTTTAGACAAGAAATGTGGTACAGGACTGGAGGAAATGGCATCCCTTCTCTCAAACTGGGTCCAAGGGGCTGGAGTTGAACAGAGGCACTGGGTAGGACACTGGAGAACCAAGGTAGACCCTACCTCTGCCAGCATCCCAACCAGGACCAGGCCATTGAAGAGACATGTCCATATTCTCCCTTCCTCCACAGAGCGGTCCCCTCACCGGCCCATCCTGCAGGCAGGGTTACCTGCCAACAAGACCGTGGCCCTGGGCAGCAACGTGGAGTTCATGTGTAAGGTGTACAGTGACCCACAGCCTCACATCCAGTGGCTCAAGCACATTGAGGTGAATGGAAGTAAGATTGGCCCGGACAACCTGCCATATGTCCAGATCCTGAAGGTAATCTTAGCCTCATTCTTGGTCGATATGCTGGGAAGGTGACCAGGTGTCCCCTGGGGCTCAGTGCCCGGGGTTAGGGCTCAGCCTTACCCGTAAGGCACATCATACTCCATCTTAGTAGGGATCTAGACACAGGCTGGTGACAGCAGAAGGTGGGAATGCGTTGGGAAGAGAGGGTGGGGTGGGTGATAATAGCGGCTGGCTTCTAAGGACCTTTGAGAGTGGTTCAGGATCTTGGATCAGTCACTCGAGGAAGGCATTGAGACTCTTGTTGCTTGTGGCCCAGCAGCACAGCCTTCCAACAACACGTGTTTACCCGTGTCCGACCTGCTTGTTTCCCAAGTTACAATCTTTTGGCGAACAAGGTAAACGATAAGGGCGCTGCTTAAACAGCTGGAAAAGTAAATGCCACCTATAAATTCTCAGGCGCTTAAGGAGTAGTGGCATTTTCTTTCTTTTTCCCCTCACTCCCAGTCTCTCACTGCCCCTGAGTGCTCCATTAATCCAGGGGGGTAATTGCCTATGTCTCCAATGGGTTTTACAGCAGGAATAACCAGAAGTTAGACCTCATCCTCCCCTGCCTTGGCTGTCCTAGAGATTTACTGGCTGTCCCTTCTCTTTGCCACTGGAGCTGAAAATATTCTGGAAGAAAGAGGGCCAGCTCTAGCTTTGAGCCTGGGAGCTCTGTCTCCAATTACATACAAGTCCCCACCCTGGTCTGGTAGAGGAAGTTTAACACATAGAGAATATTTGCTTTGGGACAGTGACCCTTCCCGTCCCCTCCCTTCCTCTGCTCTCCCCCTTTCCCTCCCCCTTTCTGTTTCCCTTTTTCTTCTGTTTTCCCTCCCCCTCCCCTCCTGTTTTACCGTCTTACCCTTCCTTTCCATCTACTCTTCTAAGAGGTTTCGTTTTGTTCCACCCAGAAGAGAAGGTGGTAGGTCTCAGCGTCTCCCTTACCTTGGCTCCTTGGACCTGACTGAAAGTTACCCCAGGAGCACAGTGTGGCCACATCTCAGTGTTTGCCCAACTGACTGGTGTGTCGTTGGTTTATTCCAGCATTCGGGGATTAATAGCTCGGATGCGGAGGTGCTGACCCTGTTCAATGTGACAGAGGCCCAGAGCGGGGAATATGTGTGTAAGGTTTCCAATTATATTGGTGAAGCTAACCAGTCTGCGTGGCTCACTGTCACCAGACCTGTGGCAAAAGGTAATGGGGAGATGGACGGGACTCTATACTGGGTACTTGATTTAGGCCCCACACTGCTGGGGCAGATTGGGAAGCCAGCACCAACTCTACCTTTCTCTTACTTTGTTCTTAATGCCCAGAGCCATGGAAAAATCCCTGGCTTGGGAGGTTGGTTTGGTTTGGTACTGTGTTGGTTATCTGTGGTTCCCTTTATGCCTTATGCCTTCTCTCTCTCTCTCTCTCTCTCTCTCTCTCTCTCTCTCTCTCTCTCTCTCTCTCTCTCTCTCTCTCTCTCTCTCTCTCTCTCTCTCTCCCCCTCTCCCCCTCTCTCTCTCCCTCTCTCTCCCTCTCTCTCCCTCTCTCTCCCTCTCCCCTTCCTACCCCTCCCATATGCGTGTGTGTGTGTGTGTGTGTGTGTGTGTGTGTGTGTGTGTATGTGTGTGTAAGTACTTATGCCTGTCCATGCACTTATGAGATAGTCTTTTGTGTTAGGAATGATACTTTAAAGTTTCAAATGGTGGCGAAGAGAAGGGACCGGGTATTCTCTCTCTTACTGGCATCTGCAGGTTGTGTGTGTGTGTGTGTGTATGTGTGTGTGTGTGTGTGTAAGTGCTTATACCCATCCATGCACTTATGAGATAGTCTTTTGTGTTAGGAATGATACTTTAAAGTTTCAAATGGTGGCGAAGAGAAGGGACCGTTATTCTCTCTCTTACCTGTATCTGCAGAGGGTGTGTGTGTGTGTGTGTGTGTGTGTGTGTGTGTGTGTGTGTGTGTGTGTGTGTAGACTGCCTTTCTTTCCCCGCCATGTGTCCATCTGTACCCACTGACTCCTCTTTACCTAAAACCAAACAGCCCCCGCCTGCCAGGCCCCATTTCTCCATGCTGCCCGTCGCCCGCATGCTTGGCTGGGCCAGTGGCTGCCAGCGTCTGGTGAAGGGTCGTAACCCGCCGCCGTCCTCTCAGGTCTGCAGGAGCGCCTCCCTCAGGACCTCACTCTTTTCCTCTAACAGGTCTCGCTGCCTGGTGGTTTTTGCCTTGTTGCAAAGGAGATGCTGGGAGCATTTCTTCCTCTGGTTTTGGTCCCCTTCGCTGTCCCCACTCTTTCTCTGTCCCTCTGAGGTCTCATGTCCTGTGCTTGTCCATTTTGCTTCCGTTGTCTCTTCTAGACTGCTGGAGTTAATACCACCGACAAGGAGATGGAGGTGCTTCACTTACGAAATGTCTCCTTTGAGGATGCGGGGGAGTATACGTGCTTGGCGGGTAACTCTATCGGACTCTCCCATCACTCTGCATGGTTGACCGTTCTGGAAGGTATACACTGCACTGATCCTTTCCCTGTCCTGCCTTTGCCATGGGAGCAGCGCATCCATTACAGGGCTGGGGAGAGGCCAGAAGAGATGGCTCCCATCTGCTGTGTGCCCTTTTCTGCTCCCGCTTTGAGGCACGTGCAGGGGGTCCCTGGATTCTCAGGAAGTCACGGGGCAGCCTCCCCCTGCACATCTGTATCTGGCTCTCTCCCTGGTCAGTGTAATGCATGCATGAGCTCTGGGTTTACCTTGCAGCAGGGCTTTCCGGAAAGCACAGGCTCCTTCTGTCCTTGGGAATAGCATCTTCCCTCATCCACTTGGTGCCCGAGGGTTTGAATTACTGGGACCTCTTAGCCAGTCCCAAGAGCGTCAATAAGAAAAGCCCTGGACCTCTTCTCTGTGAATACAGGTTCTGGGCCAACGGGAGCCTACGGCTTCCATTGGATGCTGCTGGCCCCGTCTTCATTCTGCTGCTCTTTGATTGGCATGCCTGGATAGCAGCAAACTTGAGCTACCTTGGGAAAGGCCTGTCTTAACCTGACAGTGACCATTCGGCCTCTCTGGCTTACCCCTCCCAAGCGGGGAGATCTGTGTCCCATGTACCAGCCAGGAAGGAAGGAGCCTGCAGCCGTGCCGGGTGGTGGGCTGGTGACACAAGACCAGTATGGTCTTGGCTGCGTGAGACCTGGGTGCTGCTGTTCTGCGGCTGCTGCCTCTCATTCCTTCTCGACTCTTCCCTTCCACCTTGCTTGCCCAGCGGCCCCGCGCACTGATGCTTGCAGAGAAGCATCTTCTTTTTATCCTCACCCCTGACTGTTTAGTCAGTGCTCCCTGTGAGTCTTCATTTTCTGATCCTGGGCGGGGGAAAGGACAAATAGCGCTTTCCCTGTCATCAGCTCTGAGGTCCCTTGTTGGGTGGGGAGGACTCCCCGGGTGTCCCTTCCTCTTCCTCCGGCTGACTGAGGTTTTAAAGGGGAGGACTGTAGGAAGAGGGCTGTATACGTGCAGGGGAAGGCGGTTCCGGCGGGCAGACACTGTTTCTGGTGCTGAAGGGAAAGGTGGACTAACCAGCAAATGTCTCAGTCAGGGTCACTATTGCTGTGTTGAAACGCCATGACCATAAGCAACTTGGGGAGGAAAGGGTTTATTCGGCTTATCTTTCCATACCACAATTCATCATCAGAGGCAGTTGGGGCAGAATCTTAAGCAGGGCAGACACCTGGGGGCAGGAGCTGATGCAGACACCAAGGAGGGTGCTGCTTACTGGCTTGCTCCCCATGGCTTGCTCTGTGCTCTCCCAGAGCCCAGGAATGGCACTCCCCACAGTGGACTGGACCCTCTGCACTAATCACTAATAGCAAAGTGCCGTGCATGCTTACACACAGCCCACTTTTATGGAGACATTTTCTCAATTGAGATTTCCTTCTTTCAGATGACTGTAACTTGTATCAGATTGACATAAAATTAGCCAAGACAGTATGAATTCTATTCTTTTGATTTTTTCAACACAGGGTTTCTCTGTGTAACAGTCCTGGCTGTCCTGGAACTCTGTGGACAAGGCTGGCCTTGAACTCATAGAGATCTGCCCGCCTCTGCCTCTCAAGTGTTGGGATTAAAGGTGTGCTCCACCCTGCCTGGCAGTATGAATTCTAAATAGAAGTGGAAGAACACAGTAAATCGATGCCCCCCCTCCCAATCTCCCACTTCCTTACATTTTAGGAATCCTGTGGGGGCCATAAGTAGATTACCTAAGAACTGCCAAATACACGTTTTTCCATCTACAGACACACTTAGACATTGAATTTATTTCGACTGTGTTTTGGCCATTGGTGGGTCGGATCTAACAGGTGACAGGTGGTTAGTAAGACACAGGGTGGCTTCCATGAGCATTCATTAGCCCCCATTTGAGTGCCACTCTATGTCTTGTTCTTTGAGGTCATAACAGCCTGTCTCTGTATGATCTATGGCACAACATTGAGGTTCTGCAGGGTCTGTGGTGCCCATCTAGCCCTCTAGGGAGCTGCAAGGTGGCTCTGGAGTTAATGAGTGTTTGACTTGTATAGCAGGATAGTCTAGGCTTTATCCTCTATGGGCTTTGAAGTTAAGGACGTTAAAGATGTCTGGTTCTTTTGATACCAGAATCCCAGTCTTCACTAGGATCTGGCTGGGTTTTCCCCTTCCCTATAAGTTCCCAGGGGGAAAGGAAGAGGGGCTGGGTTTCTCATGGGGCATACCTCTCATGGGCAAAGCCCCCGTAACCCGCTGACGCCCTGTCCACACTGACTCAGCCCTGGAAGAGAGACCAGCTGTGATGACGTCACCGCTCTATCTGGAGATCATCATCTATTGCACCGGGGCCTTCCTCATCTCCTGTATGGTGGGCTCTGTCATCATCTACAAGATGAAGAGCGGCACCAAGAAGAGTGACTTCCATAGCCAGATGGCTGTGCACAAGCTGGCCAAGAGCATCCCTCTGCGCAGACAGGTAACAGAAAGTAGATGGGGGATTTGCACGCTCACCACTGCCGCCGCCTCTGGGCCTCCAGGGCCTGCTTCCTTTCCCAGCCCCTGGCTGTTCCTCATCTACCATGCCGGGCTTTGCTCCACCCTCTGGACTAGAGACATTGGAACGTTATAAACCTGTCTACCTGTACCCCAACCACAAAGGCCTCGGTCTATCTCCTGAGACACGGTGGGAGGAATTGGGTTAGAAAGTGTGAATGGTTAACTGTCCCTCAGAACACTGCTGACCCAGAAAGGTGCCTTGGGGATTAGGTCTCCATAGTCTGAGAAAGAGTTTTTTGCAAACAGTTGGGAAAAGAAAAGAGCTGTTAATGATATTATAAAACACTAAACTGGAAGAGGTATATTTGGTATGTTCATCGAGTAGGTGAGTAAAATGGAGCCCAGAAAGACTTTTTTTTTTTAATTTGGTTTTTCAGGACAAGGTTTCCCTTGTAGCTCTGGCTATCCTATAAACCAAGTTGGCCTTATACTCGGAGATCTGCCTGCCTCTGCCTCCCCGGTGCTGGGATTAAAGGCTTGCGCCACCACCGCCCGAGTGCTGGGATTTGGAAAGACTTTTTGATGGTAGAAATTACTCAGTCATATAGCTTCTGACCTCTTATGTTTTTGTTTTTCACCACACCGTGCTAAGGAGAGGAGCCAATCTGTGCTGTGGAGAAAAGCTGGGGATTTGGGAGGAGTCTGCTGCCCCTTCCTGCTCGCCTTGCTAGAAGGGTGACCCCACTCTTTCTTACAGGTGTCCGCTGACTCCAGTGCATCCATGAACTCTGGGGTCCTCCTGGTTCGGCCTTCACGACTCTCCTCCAGTGGGACCCCCATGCTAGCTGGAGTCTCTGAGTATGAGCTTCCTGAAGACCCCCGTTGGGAGCTGCCGAGAGACAGGTAATAATACGCTGTGACTTCCCACGGAGGACCCCATACGTGTCCTAGCTGTAGGAATCGTATGCTGAGGCCTTTTAGGTAGATGCCTCTGGAAATAGCTTCTCCCCGCTCTTGACTGGGTGAAACGCCAGGAGAAACGGGGATGAGCTGCCCTGTAGGAAAGAGTTTGACTTTTAGTAGCCCCGACTGTCACTCACTGTGTGTCCAGCCCTGACTGTCACTCTCTTTCTGCCTCAAGACTGGTCTTAGGCAAACCTCTTGGAGAGGGCTGCTTTGGGCAGGTGGTATTGGCGGAGGCCATCGGGCTGGATAAGGACAAACCCAACCGCGTGACCAAAGTGGCTGTGAAGATGCTGAAATGTGAGTGATGCTCCTGTGTGCTGCCATGGTAGTCTCTTCCCTTTCTAAGCAAACGAGGTCTGGACCAAATGGAAAGCGTTCTGTGGCGCTGCCGCACTGCCTGAGGGGCTAACCTGGGACTGGAGGGGCAATCTTTCTTTTTCCTCATGGTCTCCCCGGCCACTTTCAGCACCACATGGCAGTGGCGATGCCTGGATGGGGAGTTGAGGGGAGACAAGCAGGTCCTGGGGGACGGGGGTCCCTTTGGGCTCAGCTTCCCTCACGCCACTCTCCGGTTTGCTTGTAAAGCCGACGCAACAGAGAAGGACCTGTCGGACCTGATCTCGGAGATGGAGATGATGAAGATGATCGGCAAGCATAAGAACATCATCAACCTGCTGGGGGCCTGCACACAGGACGGTAGGTGGCTCCGGGCAGCAGCCGAGAACCTGGCTTTAGCTGGGAGTTTAACGTGTTTCTCGGGGGCTGGCATTTGTCCAAGATTACATACTGACGCCTAGATTCAGTACGTGAACAGGAACAAGGATGTTATTGGAGTCTACTATGGGGCTCCTACCCTCAGCGTTGCTTGGGAACTTTCTGGACTCTACTGGGAAGAATTCTTTCTCTGACTTTCTATAGGAAGAATGACTTTCCCTGTTCCCATCCGGGGGAGTCAGGAAAGGGGGTTTACACTAGGCATGGGACACATGTGGGCTGTGACATTTGGAGGAGGGGCTTCCATTAGGTATAGCTACACCTGCTGACCTATTGCCTGACCTGTGGGCTCTATCTTTGTGCTCATAGGTCCTCTTTATGTCATTGTGGAGTATGCCTCCAAAGGCAACCTTCGGGAGTATCTGCAGGCCCGGAGGCCTCCTGGGCTGGAATATTGCTACAACCCCAGCCACAACCCCGAGGAACAGCTGTCCTCTAAAGATCTGGTATCCTGTGCCTATCAGGTGGCCCGGGGCATGGAGTATCTAGCCTCTAAGAAGGTATGGAGCCTGATTGCACTCCTCCCCACAAAAGTCAGGGTAGGACTGAAGCTGCCTAGTGCTCGAATTTCTGACTACATAGTCTGTGCTGGCCTTGAGCTCATCTGTACCCCCATTCTCTGGTGCCAGGATGCTGTGTGCACTACTGTGCCTGGCTCCAGCCTATCACTGTGTCCTTTAGAGCTCGGGGTGCCCAAAACCAGACCACTTGTGTTTCATTAGGCTTTCAGGAAAGCCCTTGTCGCCTTGGGGTCCGATTGAATTGGGTTTGAAATCTACATAGCCACTTTCTGCATAGACTGAGGCAACTATTTTTAAATTTATATCTAAGGTCCCATTTGGTAACAGAGGCGGACCTCAAATTCATTGTGCCGCACAGACTGGCCTTAAATTTGTGATTATCCTGCCTCGACCTCTCAAGTGCTGGGGTTATAGGCATGTGCCACTGAACCCAGCTTTGTATTTCTTCAGACAAAAAATAGGAATATTAATTTCTATGTCCTAGAATTAGGTGAGGATAAGATGACTTGTGTCTGTCAAAGTGCTTGTCTCGGGTTTCAGTGTTCACTATATCTTTGTTTCAATTCCCTACCCAGTGCAGACAAGCTCTGCCAGGGAGGGCACGGCTCAGCACACACACCTCCACAGCCTGAGTGCGCGCCTAAACATCCTGTTTGGGGGGTTATAATTCCAAAAGCTAGAGGTTGGGATCAAGAAAGAAGGCGTGCATAAAGGAGGGCTTGCTAAATTGATTGAGAAGACTACAGCTGAAGGTGTCGAGAATTAAAGAATATTCTGGGGGGTTGCCAGAGGGCAGAAGGCCTGTGAGGTACAGCGATCTGCCACCTACTACACAATAAGTGCTGGCTGGAGTAGGGGGGGGGCTAGCTGGCTGTGTGGCAGAGCGTGGTTCAAGGTTGTCGTCAACCCCCTTCCCCCCCTTGCAGTGCATACACCGAGACCTGGCTGCTAGGAATGTCCTGGTGACAGAAGACAACGTAATGAAGATCGCAGACTTTGGCCTAGCTCGAGACATTCACCATATCGACTACTATAAAAAAACCACCAATGTGAGTCTCTGGCGTGGCATCTCCTGGGTCCCACACCCCACTAGGCTTTCCCTATACGCTCTGCCATGCTCACGTGGGGTTGTGATCTAAGGAAAGGTGCCGTGGGATTGGCCGAAAGAAAGCGTGCGTGCCGCGCCCTGGGTCCCCTCACTGCCCTGGGTCCCCTCGCTGCCCTGGGTCCCACCTGTCCATGCCCTGGGTCCCACCTGTCCATGCCCTGGGTCCCCTCACTGCCCTGGGTCCCACCTGTCCATGCCCTGGGTCCCCTCACTGCCCTGGGTCCCCTCGCTGCCTTGGGTCCCCTCGCTGCCCTGGGTCCCACCTGTCCCTGCCCTGGGTCCCCTCACTGCCCTGGGTCCCACCTGTCCATGCCCTGGGTCCCACCTGTCCATGCCCTGGGTCCCCTCACTGCCCTGGGTCCCACCTGTCCATACCCTGGGTCCCCTCGCTGCCCTGGGTCCCCTCGCTGCCCTGGGTCCCCTCGCTGCCCTGGGTCCCCTCACTGCCCTGGGTCCCCTCGCTGCCCTGAGCCATCCCAGGAGCTGTCTGGCTCATTTCTCCCCACACTGCTGTTTGCAGGGCCGGCTGCCCGTGAAGTGGATGGCACCCGAGGCGTTGTTCGACCGGATCTACACCCACCAGAGTGACGTGTGAGTTTGAAACACACGATCACCCGGGATATGCTGGGGAAAGAATGCCAGCAGGCCTGCAACTCTAGACTGCTGAGGATCTCTCTCCATCATGGGGGGGAGGGACTATTGTCTTGTCCCTTGCTGACCCCTTGTCTCCTGTGCCCTGCCTCCTGAACTTAAGGGCTGTGCGGGGGGGGGGGCAGAGAGGTTCAAGGTGAGCACCTCCCGTGCTGAGTTCTCAAGAGGACCTAGGAAGCCCTAGGGCAGTCTGGCCCGGTGCCGTGAGTCTCAGTGGCACCGCGTTCTCCTCTAGGTGGTCTTTTGGGGTGCTCTTGTGGGAGATCTTCACTCTGGGTGGCTCCCCATACCCTGGTGTGCCTGTGGAAGAGCTTTTCAAGCTGCTGAAGGAGGGTCATCGTATGGACAAGCCCACTAACTGTACCAATGAGCTGTAAGCACGACTTGGGGGGAAGACCGTGGGGGAGAGGCTGCTGGTAGACCGGCGCCCTTCGAGTCCTCCGCTGGCAGGCTGGGTCACGTGTTGGGGAAGACAGGGCGGGTTCCTTAGGTGGCTGCTCATGGGAGGTTCTTGAAGTTCTTGGCTCTGAAGGAAGTGGGAGCACGGAGGGAAGGCAGATGGTGAAAGCTATGTGTTTGGAGGGAGCAGCCTCCCTGGTCATCCCGGCCCCGCCCTCCGGCCCCGCCCCGCCCCGCCCCGCCATTGCCCTCTCTTTGACCTCACCGTCCTGCTTCAGGTACATGATGATGCGGGACTGCTGGCACGCAGTGCCCTCTCAGAGGCCGACTTTCAAGCAGCTGGTGGAAGACCTGGACCGCATTGTGGCCTTGACCTCCAACCAGGTAGAGCTCCTCTGGGCTGGGACGTGGGCCGTCCTCCCAGGCACCTCAGGGGACACGGCCGCAGGAAGGTGTGTGTGCCACTTGCCCCCTCCTCCTCACAGGAGTATCTGGACCTGTCGATGCCGCTGGACCAGTACTCTCCCAGCTTTCCCGACACACGGAGCTCTACCTGCTCTTCAGGGGAGGACTCTGTCTTCTCTCATGAGCCGTTACCTGAGGAACCCTGTCTGCCCCGACACCCGGCCAAGGAACCCTGTCTGCCCCGACACCCGGCCCAGCTTGCCAATGGTGGACTCAAAAGGCGCTGACTTCCCCAGTTTCGTCGTCACCTGTGCCCCTCACCCATAATTCCCTGCGGGACACACTGCCTCTCCCTTTCTCCTTTGTTGCTGGCAAGAGCCGGTGTGTACTTGAGGCCTTCCTGTGTGGCCTGCCCCCGTCATCACCCCGCCACCCCAGACCCCTCTTCCCCTTCTCAACCTGCCGTGTGAGAGGGGAGCCAAGAGGCAGGTACTTGCTGGTAGCCACTTCCTCCTTCCCGGGTGTTGGACCAAGACCCCTCCTGCTGCCTGGTACTCCTTGGAGGCCTGGGGAGTAGAATAACAGGAGAGCGAGCAAGAGCTCTCTCGAGCGTTCTGGTCGACCCATTGGCCTCCTGTGTTCTGGTGGCAGCAGCCGTGGGGCTACTGAAGCAGTGGGGTTTGTTTCTGTTCAGGCCTTTACTGAAGACAGCCTCTGCTTCGGATGGGTGGTACCAGTGGCTTCTTAATTCCAATACTAATTTGCTTTGCTGACCAAATACCTGGTACCAGAAGATGGTGAGGCAGAGATGGGGAGCAGTGATGTGGTCCTGGGGCTGAGCCCTAGACTCGGGGCTCTGTACATAGCTATGAAGAAAACACAAAGTGTATAAATCTGAGTATATATTTACATGTCTTTTTAAAAGGGCCGTTACTAGAGATTTACCCATTGGGTGAGATGCTCCTGGTGGCTGGGAGGCATCCATTGCTATATATTAAAAACAAAAACAAAAAAAAAGGAAAATGTTTTTTAAAAGGTCATATATTTTTTGCTACTTTTGCTGTTTTATTTTTTTAAATTATGTTTTAGACCTATTTTCAGTTTAGGTCCCTCAATAAAAATTGCTGCTGCTTCATTTTTATCCTGGGCGTGTGAAAAGGGAGCAGATGTCCCTGCAAAGGAGGGAGACAGGGACTAAGGGGCCATGAGCTGTTGGCACTGTGTGCTTTCTGTGTTTCCCTGACCTCACAGGCAGCCCTTCTATCTCTGATTTGGGAAAGACAGGGAAAGAAGACCAAAGTAATGGAGGGCAGAGAACCAAGACTACGAGCTTGTTTCCTCCGACCAGATTGTTTCCTCAGAGGAGATGAAACTAGCCAACGGTAGAACGAACCATACAGAGACTCAAAGCCCAAACCCTGTGTGGGTGCGCCTTTGCATCTGTGAGAGAAAATGTCACCCAAAGCTAGTCTTGTCTTAACCAACCTCCTCTCCATTTCCTTTCCCATTCCTGCCCTCCCCTTCCAGGTTGCATTTGTTGGGACTATCCCTGATCTTGGCTTGTGGTTTTTCCTATACAAACTCCACCCACCCCTCAGGAAAGGGAAAACAATCTCCTTTGGTTTGGTTCTGCTTGGAGACTTACTTCTGCCACCTGCTGGTGGTTATTGTCCTTTCAGGTGGCACCTTATCTGGCTGAGACCAGCCCTGCTGTATTCTTAGTGCTTACTGCTGGGTCACTGCTGAATACAAGACAGTTCAATGTGGCCTCATCCTGCGGGGATTAAGGCTGCTTCTTTAATACATTCTGAGCGGGGCATTTTTGGTGACTATAGTTTTGGTCATCATCATGGAGTTGTTATCATTGTTTCTCTCTGTAAACATGTAACTGTCAAAAGTATTACAAGTGTTTTCTTATGCTGAAAGGTATAATTCGGCGAAGAAGACCAGGGAATGAATTTTAGCTCAGACTCATCTGCTTAGAGGTCATATCATAGTTGTTTTCCTTGTTAAAATAGTGACCATAATTTCTGCCTCAGTGCTGCTTGGCTCAATGTTGTGTGAATGGATGGGAGAATCTACAGAGGGCTTTGTATGATTTGAGGAAAGATGCTACGGAATAGAAGGCACCGAAGTCCTCGCTGTTGCTATTCAAATTGCCCACAAATATCCCCCGAGACAGGGTGGCTATCAAATAAAAGACAGTAAAATTGACCTGAAGGAAAATGAAATGGCTGTTTTACTTAGATGACCAGATTGAGTCTCTTGGGACAGGGAACCCAGCTTATCTAATGAAGATGTGCTGTCAAAGTATTGCATCTGTCTGGTTTCCTGAGGGTTAAAATATGGCCAAGGCATCAATCAATACTGCCTTTCCACCCTTTCTAATTGCCAGAGGCTAGAGATCATCAGTCCCCTGGCTCTGTTAATGTAATATATTGATTTCAGGTAAGTAAGATTGAACATAGATGAAGAAACTGCCTTAATGGTAATGAAGTCTGTTTATCAGCTGCCACCGGGTGGAGCCAGCAAGCTAAAGTCCCCACCACCACCACCACCGTATTAGGTAATGGGCCAGTTTGCTCTGACATAACAGACCTACCTGCGAGTGGGAATCCTTGGCCTGGATTTAGTATTCTAAAACTCTGGACTTGACCAATGTGGCTTGTGCAGAACTAGACCTGTCACAAGTGCAGGGTGATACTATTAAATGCCACCAACAACTATTATGGCAGAATCCTGTGTAAGGTTTGAGCTCTGTAGCTGTGGTTCCTGGTCACTGGCCAGGGCTCTACCAGTGAGGTTGCAGCCTGGGGTTATGGCCAAGTATCCTAAATGTTGAAAATGGAAGCATCGATACCATCTATAAAGATGGGCAGAGAGAGGTATCAAGTAGCTTACTAGCCTAGAAGTTAGCAAAACCAAGGAAAGCTACTACTAGTTTAAGACCAGTTTGGGCTACATGAAGCTTTGTCTTAAAAAACACAAGTTCCCAGTCATGGTGGCACATGCTTTTAATCCCATCACTTAGGAGGCAGAGGCAGAGGCAGATGAATCTCTGCTATCAAGGCTAGCCTGGACTACACAGAGTTCAGGACAGCTAGGGCTAAGCAGAGAAACCTTGTCTTGAAAAACCAAAACAACCCACAAATGAAACAAAGTAACAAGAGAGAGACCTGGTATCACATGCCTTTAATACCAGAACTCAGGAGGGTGGCCACTGATGATCTCTGTAAATCCAAGGCCAGCCTGCTCTACATAGCAAGTTCTAGGCCAACCAAGATTGTCCAGTAATCTCCAAAACAAAAAGTAAAACAGAAAGGAAGCACACTGATGATCACAGTGACTAGATTTAACTTCCCATTTTGCCCATTGAGAAGACTAGAAAGTATTGAGAGGGCAGCCACATACGAGTCCTGTAGATGAAACAGTTAAGCCAGTTAACTAGCTAATCCTGTTCTCATATTCCATACCTGTAATGTACATCAAGTTAAAAAAAAAATCATGGGCTGAAGAAATGGCTCAGCAGTTAAGAACACTGACTCTTCTTCCAGGGGTCCTGAGTTCAATTCCCAGCAACCACAAGGTGGCTCACAACTAACTGTAATGGGATCTGATTCCCTCTTCGGGTATTCATGAACATATACATAAACATATACATAAACATTTTTTAAACACCACTTGAAGAGGTAAGTTTTATTGTGTGCCAACTGGTTAGACCAATAGCAACAGCATAGGATGACGTATTAACACAGGGCTTCATCAGTCTGGAGAAATCAGTTAATTAGCAGCACAGGGTGGGGCGTGTCCTCCATGACAAGGGAGTGTTTTGTGGCACGTCTTTCTGGGCTGGAGATGTAGTTCAATTGCTAGCACGAGAGACCATGCATTCGGTGGTGGTGGCGCACACCTTTAGTCCCAGCACTTGGAGGCAGAGGCAGGCAGATCTCTGTAAGTTCGAGACCAGCCTGGACTACCAAGGGAGTTCCAGGACAGCCTCCAAAGCCACAGAGAAACCCTGTCTTGAGAAAAACAACAACAACTCTCTCTCTCTCTCTCTCTCTCTCTCTCTCTCTCTCTCTCTCTCTCTCTCTCTCTCTCTCTCTCTCCTTTTTGAGACAGGATTTCTTTGTGTAGCTTTGGAGCCTATGCTGGCACTTGCTATGTAGACCAAGCTAGCCTCAAACTCACAGAGATCCATCCACCTGCCTCTGTCTCCCAAGTGCTGGGATTAAAGGTGTGTGCCACCACTGCCTGGCTAGTTAATCTCGTTTTAAGATTTATGAGTCTTTTGTTTGCACGTATGTATGTGCATCACATGCATGACTGGTACCTGTGGAATTCAGAAGAGAGTGTTGGGTCCTATGGAATGGGAGTTAGAAATGGTTGTGAGCCACCATGAGGGTGCTGGGATTAGAGCCCTGATCCTCTGCAAGATCAAATGGTCTTAACTGCTGAACAATCTCTCCAGCATCACTAATCTGTTTTGACTTCTTCAAGATGCTTTGCCTTCCTGGGAAGTATGTCCAACCTGGTCCCAGGTACTTATAGCACTGTTCCACTGAAGAATCACTCTGCAAAGGTGGTCAGGCGCTCTTAAAAGTGGTTTTGGGAGCCGGGCGGTGGTGGCGCACGCCTTTAATCCCAGCACTCGGGAGGCAGAGGCAGGCGGATCTCTGTGAGTTAGAGGCCGGGCTGGACCGACAGCCTCCAAAACAATACAGAGAAACCCTGTCTCCTAAAACCAAAAAAAAAAAAAAAAAAAAAAAAAGTGGTTTTGGTAACCTCTATGTTCTGACTAGGGATTCCACACCACAGGAGGCAGAGGTATCCAAGGTGCCAAGCTGACTCCATTATGAAATGCATTTCCTCTTAAAAGGTCTGAACCACCTGGGCTATAATCCCAGGTACTTGGGAGATGATGGAGTGGTGTGTGTGTGTGTGTGTGTGTGTGTGTGTGTGTGTGTGTGTGTGTGTGTGTAAAAATTCAAGGCTAGCCTGGGCAATTTGACCTTACCTCAACTACTCCAGTGATGGAGTAGTTGCCTAGAAACCACAGGTCCTCTGATTTCACTCCCCAGCACAGTCTCCCTCCAAATGCACACAAACAGGAAGCCATTCAAAAACAACATGGGAGTGGGCTTTACTCAAAGTTTAGTAGGATGACACATTATACAGTAGAAATAGACCACAATTAAGCTTCTCTAAGTGGCCTAAACTTGGTGTTACTGCTTGCACATCTGGAATGGTCAGGAGGCCTCCAACGACTTAATGGCTGATCCTTTATCTCAAGCCAGGCAGTCTTAGCTAGAATTCCTTCATGGATGCCACTGCTGAGGAGACAGTGACTGGAGAGAGTGAGCTCCATCTTCAAGGGGTCCTTAGGCTCCTTTTGAATTAGCCTTGCTGTTCTGTGAGTTCTTCTGGGATTTGGCCTGGATAATCTAGGTGCAAAAGAGGGCTTTAACCAGTTTAAATTCTTCAGGCATCCCCTTTTACCTTCTTATCCAAACTAATGGCCACAAGCCAGGCTCAGTGTGTGTGTCATGCCTGTAATCCCAATGCCCAGGCAGGCGAGGTTGGAGAACTGGCCCGAATTCCAGGAAGGCCTGAACTAGAGTGAGCTTTCTTCACCCATCCCATCCCCCAAAGAAAAGCAGCTAGACAGTGGCCATGAAGTCACACGTGTCAACTGCTTTGGTAATAAAGATGAAGACACAAGCAAGTAGGAGCCCTGGGATCGTCTTCTGAATGCCTACCCAGTCAGAGGTTCACAGACCCTAAGTGGATCTGTCACACACAGTTCATCTATCCCCCAACCCCCCCACTGGGTGACCTTCCTACTGTTCGATTGTGTCTACCCTCCCCCAAATTCCATCACCCAAATGGGAGAAGTGGGCACAGAAATTTCTTATTTGCATGCATTTTTCTAAAACTTTAATTGCTTTCCTGCTAGTATATCCTGACATTAGAAGCCCCTGGAAACTCTATAACATGTGTAAGCTATTTGCATTCAGCACATAAAAAAATAAGGATCTGCCTATACTGTAATTAGCTTCTAGACTTTACATGCTTAAGTTTGCTCTGCCATTGCATTGGTGGGGGTTGTTTATTTGTTTTTCTCCACTTTTGGATAACAGGTAAAAAGATACCAATTATGAGATGACTGGAGTCCAGCCTACCACTTCCTGTTTGGCTGACAGGAAGAATTGTGTGGTGTTTTGTGGTACCCTTACAGATAACCGGGAAGGGGGAAGAGAACTTTCTCTGTGGACTACTTACTGCTTCTTTGGAGATGGTTGCTGGTGGTTTTATGACTGAGGATGGTACTGGGGGCAGTTTTATCAATTCTTCATCCTTAAACATCACAACTGAGAGATTAGTGATTTAATACAGCACACACGAGAATCTACCATGAATACCAAGAAGCCTTAACTACGTTTTATTATGTAGCATTTGAAAGGCAAAAAGTCTGAAAATTGCATGTCATTAAAATGTTGATTATTTTTTTAAATGTTTTTTGCAGGGCTGGGGATAGAAGCTGTGGTTTCTCATGATTCCCACAAGCCCTTTACCAGTTAGCTACACACCTAGTCCTGTATGTTGAATTTTTTAGGAACACATTAGACACCATAATAGATGTTCTTTATTAGCAAGCAGTACTGTATGGAGTACGATGCCTTCTGTTTCATTAGAAGGATTTAAAATGCAGACACTTGGCTGCCTGTGCGTGTCTGTTGTCTCAGCACTTGGGAGGCTGAAGCAAAGGATCGGGAGTTTGACTCCAGCCTAAGCTACAGTCAGACCTTGTCTGGAGGATAGGAAAATTAACATTGAAAAAAATTAATCAGCTTGATCGAGTAGAAAGAAAGTAGCTAACCTTAGTTCCTTTTAGTTGAGGTGCAGTATCTACAACATTCTGTTGTGACTCAGGGGGAGTAGATGAAGCCAAGACGAGGTTTGACTTTGGAGGCTGGAGAAACATGACATCATTGTTAACATCCTCTGACTCTGTGAGTGCGTGCATGTGTGGCAGATAGATAGACAGGATCTCACCATGTAGATCTAGCTGACCTAGAACTCACCTCTGCTGGGATTAAACTCACTGAGATTCCTCTGCCTTTGCCTCTGAGAGCTGACATTAAAAGCGTGCGCTACCATGCCTGATAGACTAAGCCTTTCTTCTTTTTTTCAGTTCAAACTCATTTCCCTTTATTAGACGAAGTGTTTCTTGAGTTACATGGAATATGCTCTTTCAATAGCAAGTTATTCCAGAAGACCCAGTGTCACAACATCCTGTAACACCAAGATCTTACACTCTCACACAAACAGACATGCAAGCAAGACACCAATGCACATAAAAAAAGTAAGCATTTAAAAGGGGGGCTGGAGAGATGGCTCAGATGTTAAGAGCACTGGCTATGCTTCCAAAGGTCCTGAGTTCAATTCCCAGCAACTACATGGTGGCTCACAACCATCTGTAATGAGATCTGGTGCCCTCCTCGGTGTGCAAGCATATACAGGCAGAGCATTGTACACATAATAAATAAATAAATCTTTAAAAAAAATGAAAAAATGGTGCTGGTACATGCCTTTAATCCCAGCACTCAGGAGACAGAGGCAGGCAGAGTTTAAGGACAGCCTGATCTACAAAGTGAGTTCCAGGACAGCCAGAGCTAAACAGTGAAACCCTGTCTCAACCCCTCCCCCCACCACCAAAAAAAGACCAGCCTGGTCTACATAGTGAGCTCCAGGTTAATCAGGGCTTCACAGTGAGATGCACCCCAAAATAAACAAAACCCCCAAAACACAAATTGGCAATTATGGTATTGCTCCCAGTCATTAATTAAGTTAGTAGGGCAGTGGTGGTGCACACCTCTAATCCAGCACTCAGGAAGCAGAGGTAGGCAGATCTCTGAGTTAGAGGTCAGCCTGGTCTACAGAGCGAGTTCAAAGACATAGCAGGGCTACACAGAGAAACCCTGTCTTGGAAAAACAAAAACAAAAAAACTACAAGTAAAAAAAAAAAAGGAGCTGGGCGTTGGTGGCACACGCCTTTAATCCCAGCACTTGGGAGGCAGAGGCAGTCGGATCTCTGTGAGTTCGAGGCCAGCCTGGTCTACAAGAGCTAGTTTCAGGACAGCCTCCAAAGCCACAGAGAAACCCTGTCTCGAAAACCCACAAAAAAAAAAAGGTTAATGAATTGAATGGAGACAAAAAGTTAACGTTCTAAATTAGCCCTTTATTGGCTTGAAAATTTATAGAAAACTGAACAAATGAAATAGGAAAGAAAAGGAGCCATTAGTGTCAACGGAGAAGAGTATAGGAGTTGCTAATGAAGAATACTAGATGTTAAAGCCTAATTCCCAAAGTAGTGTGTGCTCTGCCTTCAAGGCATCGGTCTGGGGAGAGTCCTGGAATGATGGCAAGCTGGGTTCGGCATCCGTTCACTTACCTCTATACTTGGTGGTAGTTCGATAGGCTTTGGCTTCACATCTATTAGGTAGAAGGTTCGTGACAGGAGCAAAAGAGAAGGGGGCACATTCTCCTTCAGGTGGAGGTCCAGCCACTAGAGAAGGGAAGATAACAAGACATGGAGTCAGAGACTGTTGTGGCGGGGAAGACCTACGGTCTACATAGTGAGCTCCCTCCTGTGGACCTCTTCTCAAGCACACTGATAACCTGTGGCATAAGGATGGAAACACCAGCCTCCTGGCTTCTGCCCCGGGCCAGTACCTAGCAACCACTCCTGCCAGCCACTTAACCTCCTCAGCCAATTCCAGATCCAAATAGCTATGGATCTTCTCTAAGCAAAAAGCAGGCGGTGTGAAAGAATACACTACAAGCCAGGGAATCCTGTAATCCAGGCTGAGGCAGGGAGCTGAGTTCAAGGCCAGCCTATCTCAAAATAATTAACAACCTATTAAGCAGTGAAGTCAACCTTAGAATGAAGGTTTTTTTTTTTTTTTTTTTTTTTTTTTTTTGGTTTTTCGAGACAGGGTTTCTCTGTGGCTTTGGAGGCTGTCCTGGAACTCACTTGGTAGTCCAGCCCGGCCTCGAACTCACAGAGATCCGCCCGCCTCTGCCTCCCGAGTGCTGGGATTAAAGGCGTGCGCCACCACCGCCCGGCTTAGAATGAAGGTTTTAAAGCAGCAAATTGGCCAAGTTTTTTGTTTGTTTTAATGTTTTTTTATTTTTTATGTGCATTGGTATTTTGCCATGGAACTGGAGTTACAGACAGTTGTGAGCTGCTATGTGGGTGCTGGGAATTGAACCCTGGTCCTCTGGAAGAGCATTCAATACTCTTAACTACTGAGCCATCTCTCCAGCTCCCTTGTTGTTGTTTATTTTTGCTATGCAGCTCAGGCTTCTCATTTGTGATCCTCTTGTCACAAGACTCCTAAGTGCTGGGACGAGAGGCATGAGTCGCTGTGTCACAACTGTTTTGTGAAACCTCTACATAATGAGTGACACATACCGTTTGGTACTTTGCTTTTTACGGTGTGTGTGTGTGTGTGTGTGTGTGTGTGTGTGTGTGTGTGTGTGTGATGAATGAGTGTGGGTCCGAGTGTGAAGGTCAGAGGACAACTTTTGGTAGGGATTCTGTCCTTTAGTCATTGGTTCTGGAACCTGAACACAGGTGTCAGGCTTTTGCCAGATGAGCATTATTTGTCCTTTGCTTTTTATCCCCACCAAAATAGCTTGAAATTGGCTCATGTCAGTTGATGCTGTATACCCACTTACATATTCAGACAGTTTCCATTGTATGAAAAATGACATATTTTATTTGATAATCCTATTAATAACCTTTGGGATAATTCTAATAACTAAAACTGGTGCTGCAAGGATGAACATGGTTAGAAACACTTTTTTATGATTATTTATACAATGGTTTGCCTGCATGTGTCCCTGCAGACCAGATAAATGTGAACTATCTTATAGCAAAGACATGGTCACACTCACAAATCATTTTTAATATCTTTTATTTTCTTGAGACAAGGTCTCACTCTGAAGTCCATGCTGTCCTAAAACCTATTATATAGCCCAAGCTAGTCTCAACTAATGGCACCCTCCTGCCCCCGTCTGCAGTGCACTGGGATTACCCTCTATAAATGTAAGAGGAGAATTGCTACGTAACATGGTAATTTTTACATGTTACAGCAGTTTTCACACTGATAACACTGAGAACCCAACAGGAGCTGTTCTTAGTTTTCGAGTGCACTGCTACTGTTAGAACCCCAAGTGTGCTTTCTGATGGGCGGCACAGATATCTACCAAAGCCAACCCTGTACACTGGTTTGGAGCTCAAGAAGAAAAGCAGCCAAAGTGGGCTACCGGATACCATCTGGACCCTGCACAGGCTGGCAACAACGATAGCCCTTTGTATGAGAATTTCTGCCGAGAACATTACTTTGGTGTATGCAAATTCCAAGTTGGCCCCAAGATCTATCTTATATACACACCTCCCAGTTATTCAAACATTAGTCTAATCCATGGTTCTCAACCCCTTTCACCTCTTTCACAGGGGTCACCTAAGACCATGCAAAGACAAAGATAGTCACATTATGAGTCATAACAGTAGCAGAATTAGTTATGAAGTAACAGCAAAGCAATGTAACAGTGGGGTAACTAATTTAATGGTTGGTGGGGACTTCGATAAAGGACCGAAGCATTAGGAAGGCTGAGGGCCACTGGACTAGATGCTTTATGAGGGGTTTACAGCTGGGATTGAGGTCCCTAGTCAGTCTACTCTGAAGTAAGATCCAGAGAGCTTAACTCATCATTAGACCTGGAGGCCCAAAATGGAGAGTGCAAGAGTTGAAGTACATGGCAGATTTCGCCAGTGGAAGAGAGGACCAAGAGGTGAACAATACAGGTAGCTTCTTGGAGCTGAGAGTAGGCTGGCAGTCAGTGAGGAAGCAAGAGCATCTTCCTCCCTACAGCTGCAGTGAACACGGTTCATTCGACACAGTGAATCAGTCTGGGAGTGGGCTATCCCCAAGACTCAGCTGGCAGACTGAAGGAGTCAGAGTGGGTTACTTCAGAAACCCCAGAAAGGGATACAGCCTGCACTTGTGACCTTTGGACTGCTGCTGTGACCATTTACAATTGTGGTAGTTTGTAATAGTGCTATAGAAGCCTGTGACTTCCTGTCCCTATCCAAGGGGAAAACAGATGAACCTCTTTAGGGTATGTTTAACTGATCTGTGAAATAAAGCCAATTTAGGTATGGCAGCTTAGCTGTTTGGACCTTAAATGTTCCTCCAAGTTCCGTGTTTTGAAAGCTTGCTCTCCAGACTATGGTGCTTCTAGAGAATGTGGGGTTTTTAGGAGGTGAGGCCTCATGGGAAGAAGAAGGATCACTGAAGGGAATGGCGGAACCTTGTCTCCTTTTTCTTTGCCTTTTTAAAAAAGCAAACAAAACAGGGTCCCATTTCATAGCCCAGGCTGTCCTGGAACTCACTGCGTGGGCCAGGCTGGCCTCAAACTCACTGTCTCCCAGGTGCCGGGATTACGGGCGAGCTTGTCTTTCCTTGCTTCTTGACCACAGGAAAATGAACAAGACCCCTCTGCTATGCAGTTTTGTAAGATAAACAGAGCCAGAGAAATGGGACCAAGCAACTGGCTGAAAGCTAGGAAGCCGAGAGCCAAAATAAATCCCCGCCTTCAGATGCAAGTTGTCAAGGCAACGGAAGGCTGACTACCACAACAGGCAAAGTAGAAAGCACCAGCAGGGGGGAAGCCTCTTGAAGAGGGCTGGAGCGCGGCTTGCCTCTGTGAGTTGCTGCCGAAGTTGTTCCTCGGTGAGGCCTAACGATCTCATCCCTCGTGCCCGGCAGGCAGCCTGCAGCTCTGACACACTCAAAGCCTTCACCCCTTCTTTGGCAATTATCTGCAAGAAGTGGAAGGAACTGTGTTAGATCTTTGGCTTTCAATTTTACTTAACGCCTATATTCCAGCATAATCGATAGAAAGCCCAAATCTGATGCTTTGGCCTTCTGTCCCCTACACCGATGGCTGCAAACCAGCAACTCAGAAAGGTGACAATTGAGATGCAAGGATACTGCTAATGGACAGCAATAAAAAATAACTACATTACTGCCCCCAACATTTATCAGTAAAGTATTTCCTATCTTGGTTTGAATTTTGCCTGGATGTAACATCTACGTTTCCTTTTCATTTTTAGGGTTTGTTAGGAAATAAAATATCCATCCCGAAAAGCTTTCTGTTGCCATCTGTTATGTGTCTCAGTGCTGTTTCCCCATCACTACCCGAGTGGCCTGATTCTCTGGTCTGCAAGACTCCTGATACATAACAATTTCCGAATGTGACCCAAAACTACAGTTCTTCTGGGGCCAGTATTGTTTATACCCAAGTTCTGAAAGCAACATCCAAAATCTAAATAGGGCAATGTGCTCATGGCTTCTCTGTTTTAGGAAACCTGCTTCCCCAAGTAGAATATTACAGCAGCTGATTTTGATTCGGGAAACATTCTTTCCACGGTTTTAATTAATTGGTAGTTATACTCCAAATGGCGGTACAGTCTACACGATGGCTAGACCTTGGTTTCCTCCTACCATTGTGCTCTGCCACCCTCTTTTTCACTAACTCACCCAGAGGGATATTAACTTTGGCACCAGTTCCTCTGTAGGAGAATGGAGGTGTGTGTGTGTGTGTGTGTGTGTGATGCCGGAGTGCTGCCAAGAAACCACTGAGCTGATATTTCCTTCCCAGCGGGTCCTAACTACTTTAGATTAGTCCCAGCTAATACATTCAGATTACTGGCTGCTTACAATGGCCTTCTCAAGAAAATAGATCTTGATACAACAAATATTGAAATGAGTGGTGAAAGTTGAAGTTGTCACAGTAATGGTTTTTTAAACCATACATTTTGCCAGAATGACTCTGACAGACCCAACAGAAAATAACGCATTTCACCAAGGGACCACCAAGGGACCCGCAGGTGCCCCCTGGACCCCCTATTGCTGTGCTTAGGCTCTTACTTCGTCATCTGCTTTTATAGACTTCAGTGTCATCAGCAGCTGGAAGCGGAGCAGATTGTTTGTTCCGAAGGTCTGCAACTCCAGCAGTTTGCACAGGGCAACCAGTTGAGGTCGATCTAAATGTTCCAGGGCTAACTGATACTCAAAGAGTTTAGAGAAGCCAACTATCTCCTTAGTGCTGGGTCTGTGGCCTGTTTGGACCTAGGCAATGGGACAAAGGCCAATTACAAGGTGTTTCCTACTTACCATAAATCTCCTAATAGACTATTTGCAAGAGCTGTCAAAGCAGTTAGAGAGTTTATGTGTTGCATGGGAATGGATCCTGTGGTTCACTGGTAATAACTAAGTCTAGTGTGGAACTGTAGCTCAGTGGGAGACTGGGCATTTACTGTGCATGCATGCCAGCCAGGTTCAATGCCTAATCCAACACCCTATACCCACCCCCCCCAAAAAAATCTTCCTCGAATCAAACTTAGTCACTAGAAAACCCAGGAGTATTTCTAAAGCTTGTACTGATCTTTCTTTCTGAGATGATCACTTTTGTTGTTTTTGCAAACTACTCTAAATGTTTAATGTGTAGTATATTTATAGTTTAGATATGTGGCATTTCTAAGATCTGAGCAATCTGGGTGATCCATGATGACTCCAGTCCAGAGGTCACTGGCCTAGTGTGAGCCCCTGACACCTGTTGTACATAGGAGGAAAGCTCTGAAGAGGCGTCTCCCAACTTGGCTCGGTTTCTCCGCGCCATTTCCGTCATTGTCTCTTGAAGGAATTTTGCTATTTCCAACTTTGCAGCCATCTTCTTTTTCTGTTTTTCTTCCTTAATTGAAGAGGAGAAAGGTAATCACAACTGCAGGTTGGTAATGATGAGAGATCTAACGACTGCTTTGCCTCTGTGCATCCCCACCACACAGAAAGACCTGAGTAAATAAGTTTGTAAGAACCAGACCACTGTAAAGGGGCTTCTACTCAGCTTGTCTCCGTAATCTTGCATTTATTTCTCATTATAACAATGATGATAAGCCTCAATGAAAAGCTCGGTTATTAGATGAATCACTACCTCCTAACCTCATCTAGGCTGCTACTTAAGCCAAACTCTGGTAGATAGCCCCGGATTTTGCTCTACAAAGAAACTAACTCTAAGCTGATCAACTGTACAGTTTAAATAGAACGTATATAATCATAATATAGTGCATTATGTGCTGTAATGGATTTGAAGAAAAAAAACACTATACAGGAGAGAATTAAATATAAATTCCTTTTGCTGTTGTTTGAGACAGGGTCTCTCTCTACATCCCTGGCTGTCCTGGAACTCACCATGTAGACCAGGCTGGCCTCGAACTTATAAAGATCCACCTGCCTCTACCACCTGAGTGCTGAAATTAAAGGTGTGTGTCTCCATGCCTGACTTAATGTACATTCTTAAGACAGTTGGCTAGTAGTTGTAGATCCTCGTTCATCATCAGAAATGCAGTGGTAGAATTTTTGAAATAACCATAGTCAAAATGCTGGGCACAGGGTACACAGAACTGAATATGGTTAAGTCACTTATTCAAGAACATTTTCAGTTGGGCAATGGTGGCATGTGCCTTTAATCTAAGCACTTGGGAGGCCGAGACAGGCAGATCTCTGTGAGTTTGAGGCCAGCCTGGTCTACATAGTGAGTTCTAGGACAGCCTCCAAAGCTAGAGAAACCCTGTCTTGAAAAACCAAAAAAAAAAAAAAAAAAAAAAGACCGCTTTCATTAGAATGCTGTGGATTGTTTCTAGATCCTGATTCTTTTAAATGTAAGTAAATTAAGGCCTGCAATTCTAGCAGCTTGCAAAAGGGCATCTAGCTAGAGTTTAAGTATATTAAACCATCTTCAGGCAGTTAAATATTGTAGTTTGATTTTCCACTTTAATCTCAAACTATGTTCTAGGGGTATAGCTCAGTGGTAGAGGGCTTGCCAAGCATGCACAAGGGCCCTGGATTCTATTCCTCACATCACTAAAAGGAAAAAAAAGGAGCCAAATGAGGTGGCGCACACCTTTAATCCCAGTACTCTGGAAGCCGAGGCAGGTGGATCTCTGTGAATTACAGGACAGCCTGGACAGTCAGCATTACATACAGAAACCCTGTCTCAAAATACCAAAACCAAACAAAAAATAATAAAATATAGTAGACATAGAAATTCAATAAATAGTAGTAGAAAAGCTAGATATTTACATATAAAAATCCTGATACTGATATTACAAACTTTCATAAAGACAAACTGGGTTGTATCCAAATACACAAAATACATAACTATAAAAATCATAGAAAAAATAGCAAAATCTAACGTGGGGCTGATGGATTGGCTCAGAAGTTAAAAGCACTGACTTCCGGAGGACCCAGGCTTAGTTCTAGCACCTACTTGACCCTCTGGAACCCCCGTTTCAGGAAGTCCAATGCCCTCTTCTGGCCTCCTCAAGAACCAGGCATGTATGTGATACACAGCCTTCCATGCAGACCAAACCCCATACACATAAAGTCTAATAGACCTTGAGTCTGTTAGCCAGCTGTCAGCTATACCTCTGACGGCCTGGTCATTTCAAGTGTTTGTGCTATGAAAAGATGAACCACAAGTATGGGGTGTAGCTTAATGAATTATCACTGGAAAAGACTGGGATCCATTCACAGCAATGAAAAGAAAAGAAACAGCCATCTCCAGGAATGGGTGGAAAATAAGGTACAGACTGAGGGAAAATATTTACAAAGAATATATTTGATAAAGTACAAATGCACAGAGAACTCAAAACAACAATAAGAAACAAAACACCTTTAATCCCAGCACTGGGGAGGCAGAGGCAGGCAGATCTCTGTGAGTTCGAGGCCAGCCTGATCTACAAAGTGAGTTCCAGGACAGCCTCCAAAGCTACAGAGAAACCCTGTCTCAAAACAAAAAAACCACCACCACCAACAACAACAACAATAACAAAAAACCCACCTAATTACAAAGTGGGCAAAAAGGGATGCTGGAAATGGCTCAGTGGGTTCAGTGCTTGCTCACACAGGCATGGGGACCAGACTTGTACCTGCCTGTAGCCCTACTCTGTGCAACACAGGACCAAACTGGCTAGCTACACTAGCCAAATCCGTGAGCTATGGGCTGAAGTGAGAGACCCTAACTCAATACACAAAGTGGAGAGCTGTTATCTATATCTGTCTGTCTGTCCATCTATATCAGAACTCTATATAAGGTAGGCACACTTGCATATACATGCATGGCCATTCACATACATGTACACCTCACACATATTTACACACACACACACACACCAATAGTGGGCAAAATAAACATATATCCCTTCAAAGAAGTTACAGAGATGCCAAAGAAGCTAACCACTACACACCTATTAAAATGGTTAAAATCCAAAGTCCAGTATCAGACGCTGGGGAAGACAGGGTCCAGCATTCTTGGATGGAATGCAGAATACATGGCTGCTTTGGAAAAGTTTGGTTTAGCAATTTTTACAATGCTAGCTATAGCCTTACTGTGTGCAATCACAATTGCCTAAGTTAAAAAACCCTGAACATTAATAATATAACATTTTTATTCATTATGCCTGTCCAAATTAGAAGCAATCAATTTCCAAAACACTTGTATAGTCATAAATAGAATTATTAAAATCATGTCTTTTCAAGGAAGAGCTTCAGGTTTTTGTTGTTGTTTTGTTTTTGCTTGTTTCTCGAGACCGGGTTTCTCTGTGTAACAGTCTGGCTATCCTGGAACTCAATTTGTAGACCAGGTTGGCCTTGAACTCACCTAGATCCCCCTGCCTCTGCCTCCCAAGAGCAGGGATTAAAGGCAGTATTCATGTTTTTATATATTGGATCTCTGAAAATTGAGTTACAGGTAGTTGTGGGCCGCTACATGGGTGCTGGGAACTGAAACAGGTTTCTCTGCCAAGAGCAGAAAGTGCTCTTGACCACTGAGCCATCTCTCTAGGTCCTCGTGGAAGAGCTGAAAATAATTATTGCTAAGTGGAAGAATCCAGTCTGAAAAGGCTGCACAGTGTGTAATTCAAATTACATGGCATTCTGGAAAGGGCAAAACTACAGAACGAAGACATCTATTGTTGCCAGACTGAAAGAGAAACAGTAGGTACAAACAGGTAGACAACATGTGAGTTCCAGAATAGTGAAACTCTTCCAGAGGACACTGGACAGGACAGTAAGTACTACAGAGCTCACAGAACCACAAGGAGAGAGCCCCAATGCCAAGCACGGTTTTCATTACTAACGGTATCAACATTAGTTACTCAGTTACAACAGGCACCACACCAATTGCTGCTGATGGGAAACGGGTAGGGTATGAGTGCTATATGGCAAGTCTATACTTTCTGCCCAATTTTCCTGTAAGCCTACAAAACTACTCTAAAAAATAGTCTATTAATTTTTGTAAACAAAGTTTTAAAATCCTGTATACCTTTTTGGATTCACTTTCAAAAGTTGATGGCAACATGTCTGGGAAGAGCTTCAGAAACACTGGTATCAAGAATTCCATAAAAGGAACAATTATGAACACCATAAATGGAACCAATCGGAAGACATCAACGCACGTTCTCAACAGCTAAGGAGATAAATGCATAAGCAATATTATACATTCAGGACGTGCCCCAAACAAATAAGAACAACCACCGGAACACAGCCTGCCTTGATATTCAAAGTGCTAAAAACTAAGGTTTTCTACAGCTGGAAAGGCAGGGTCTTCTCTTCAACATAGCCCTGAAGTAGCATTTGTGGGCTATCCTCAAAGAAATCTATGATAATCAACACGCATTAGCAGTATTTCTTAAGGGTCAGTATTTTGATAACACAGTATTAGTTAAAGTTATTTTTTCCTTTTTGAGAGGAAGAGTTTACTATGTTGCCCAAGCTGATCTTGGACTCCTGGGCTCAGTTGATCCTCCTGCCTCAGTATCTATGATTGATAGTATGTTCCATTGCACTTGGTTTTAACATTGGTTTTTGAAATGCACATAAATATTTAATATACTAACAACATTATATATTGGGTCAGGGTTAGGTCTTTTTGAGACAGGGTTTTTCTATGTAGTCTGGAACTCAAAACCAGGCTGGCCTTGAACTCAGAGATCCACCTGCCTCTGCCTCCAAAGTGTTGGGATTAAAGATGTGCCCCACCGCCAACTGGTTTCTATTTCTGGTATATAGAAATATGAAGTTTCTCATTTCCTTGAAGAGATTAGAAATGCAATTGTGGGGCTGGAGAGACAGCTCAGCAGTTAAAGAGCACTTGCTGTTTTTCCAGAGGACAAGAGTTGGATTCCCAGCACCTATGTCAGGTGGCTCACAAGTGTCTGAAACTCCAGCTCCAGGGGGGTCAGATGCCCATGGCTTCTGCAGACACCTGCTCTAGCCTACACGCAGACACACACTTGCACATACTTTAAAATTGTGAAAATAAATCTGAAGACCCTCACATCTCCACAGGCAGACATCCCAGTCGGCTGAAGACAAGCGCAGACTGAAACAGGCTCTCTAGTCTAGTCTAGATGGCCAAGGAATGCACCTGCACGGTGTGAAGCTTTGGTTTCTGACCAGTAGTTATAATTTCCAACTTAGGGGGGGAGCACTCTGCATCAAACCCAGGGCCTCAAGAATGATAAGGAAGTTACCTATGGATTTTTAAGGTGAAGTTCTACTTCATTTTAATCTTACATTTTCCATTTCAAATATGACTCTTGCCTACCCTTCGCCTCTCTCGTCTCGTTAGCGTATACCCATGCAGTAGCTTCGAAACTATTCTGGCAGCGACTTTGGTGTCATTCCAAAGTAAATAGAATCCATTGTAATAATACTTGAGTTCATCCATGATTTTTTGACTTAAAGATCGCTTTTCTTCTGTAATCTCTGTCTCGGCTCCTTTGGGAGGTGGAGGGCTCATTGGCTTAGGTTTTTCTGGGATTTGCATTGGCTGAGGTTTACTGGGGAGATTTTGTAGCCAGCAAGTTGTGTGTAGTTTTTGTGTGAGTCTAGTTCGTAAAGGATGGGCTTTATGGCCTGGTAGACTGGGATAGGAGTACTTCCTGCTTCCATAGCTTTTCATGTAGGTCGCTCGCAAATGAGAATCTGGCAAGTGGAGAAACGCAAGCGATGGGGAGTGAGAACAGGAAGGATACACAGAATGGCTCGGCAATCTGGAAGACAAGAGTAACTTTCTTTCAGTTGGCCGTATTGTTACAAACAAAAAAGTATTCTATCTGGTCGAAATAAAACAATAAGCCTGTAACCATTATTAATGAATGAAATATAATTGTGTGTGTGTGTGTGTGTGTGTGTGTGTGTGTACTCGTGTGCTACTGGGAATTAACCCAGGACCTTACACATTCTAAGAATGTGCTCTACCACTGAGCTACAACATCCCCTTCCAGTCAAAATGCAACTTTGTTTCTTTTTTAAACTGACATTTAAAATATACATATACATACATATATATACTTGAGGCAGGGTTTCTCTATGTAGTTCTGGCTGTCCTGGAACTCCCTCTGTAGACCAAACTGGCCTGGAATTCAGAGATCTGCCTGCCTCTGCCTTCCAAGTGCCAGGATTAAAGGTGTGTGCAAATAAGAAGACCGTTCTGGGAACTGAAGCCAAAAGTAGTTCATACATGCTGGGCAACTGCCCAACCACTGAGTTATACCTCTACCCACAAAAATATAACTTCTTAAACAGATGAACTGTGTTCAATCATTGAACATATCCCCATGAAAAAGTATTAATAAGCTAATTTTGAAGGGTAATCTAGGGACCAGTGAAATAGTTCAAGGGCATAAAGGCACTTGCTGTCAGTCAAACCCTGGTTAAATCCTTAGGACCCAGAGGATAGAAGGATAGAATTGACTCCTATAAATTGTCCTGTGATCTCCAAAAAGGTACCAGGCGCCAGGCAGTGGTGCTATACACCTTTAATCCCAGCACTCAGGAGGCAGAGGCAGGTGGATCTATGTGAGTTCGAAGCTAGCCTGCCTTACAAAGCAAGTTCCAGGACGCTACACAGAGAAACTGTCTTGAAACACCAAAAAAAAAAAAAAAAAAAAGGAGGGTGGATACCAGTAGGGGGGGGGGCATGCTCTCTCCAGTAATTTAATAACAAAAAACTTAAAATATTTTATTAGAAAAAATATCTATTCAAAAACATATTTCTTCTAAGGACAGGGATTATGTTTGATAGGACTGTCTTTATCTTCTCTCATAAAGGAGATGAAGATTTGATTTGTGCCATTAGCTTCTAGTGGAAACAAGGAATGTTTAATGAAGCAACTTCATAGTCCCTGTGAGGGCCAATTAATTATGTAATATTGCTTTGCCCGTGTGTCTAAGGACTCTCCCTACGTGATGAAATATAATTCCCCTAAAATTCCTCAAGAGCATTTAAAACTAAGAATTAGAATTGAGTGTCAAGCAGTGGTGGCAGATGCCTTTTATCCAAGCACTCAGGAGGCAGAGGCAGGTGGATCTCTGTGAGTTGGAACAGAGCAAGTTCCAGGACAGGTTCCAAAGCTACACAGGGAAACCCTGAGTGCGGGAGGAGGGGAGGGAGAGGGAACTGGGATTGACATGTAAAACAAGCTATTTAAAATAAAAAAAAATTGAAAAAAAAAGAGCCTTAAAAAAAAAGAAGGAAAAAGACAAAGAAAAAAAAAGAATTAGAATTGAGCACCCCAGAATTACAAAGTGTGACCCTGTCTTGCAAAACAATACAACAATAAACAAGAAAGGGGGGAGGGGAAGAAAGCTATTAACAAAGGAGTTGGTTAGTTTTTGTTTTTGTCTAAATGATGCCTTTTTTCCCCATTCTTCAGTCAAATTTTTGAAACATATCTGTATCTATCTACTCTTTAAATAGCCAAATGGGAAAATACACAACGAATGTGACACATGATGAGTCTTCAGTAATATTCTGAACACATAGTAACTGACGAGAGCCCTTACAAAGGGACAAGCCCTGGGCCAAGCTTGTTCATGAGCCATTTTACTGCTTTTTACATCTGAGGTCCTCATGCAACAGAAATGCCACTCTAAAATTATTTCACCTATTTTTTTCCTCTATCACACATCTACAAAATCCCTCAGCCTGCATTCTAATGAAGTTTAAATTTTAGTATGTTTTACTAAGGATGTATTTAAAATTCAGCAAGGTTTTATGTACTATCCCAATCCTTTTGTTTTGTTGGTTTCTTTTTTTTCTTTTTTCTTTTTTCTTTTTTTTTTTTTGAGACAGGGTCTTGGTATATAGCCCTAGCTGGCCTGGAACTCAAAGAGATGAGCTTGCCTCTGCCTTCTGAGAGCATGTATTACCACATGCGGCCAGAAGCCAATCCTTTTACACATATTTTCCATATACATATTTGAATTCATATACATATTTGTGGGAAATTCCAAACCTTACCTTGTCCACAAAATAGCTAAGAAAGAATTATAACTGTAGAAGGTCATATTTATTTTTTTGTTTCAACTAGCCAACAGAGACCTAGGCAAAAGAAGTAAACAATTTAGTATTTTAAAAAGGCATCAATTAAATATCAGAATTTAGTTTTTTTAAAAAAACTAATGCAAGGGCAGAAATTTGCATATTCAAGGTGTAAAATTTCCTTCAGGTTCATTTCCAACAGTCATAGTATTGTCTTTGCTCTGGATGTGAAAATGGTACTGTTTCGATCCCAAAACACAGAAATGGGTTCTAAGAAGGTGCTCGTGAAGACGATATGGCCTCCAAAGGCTTTTTTTTTTTTTTTATTTCTGGTCAATAATGTCTAATCTGCTTCGACGGTTAAAAGGAGAACGACATCTTTATCTGTAACCAGAAAATACAAGTAGAAAGTAAGCATCCTGAATTCATTTTCAGTGTTTCCCATACTGTTTGGCCAAGCTACAGCCAAGCCCAAAGTCCAAAACTATTCACTCATTTCATGTGTGTCATAGCGAAGACACAACGGTACCTCGAATGGTTCAAATGCAGACGGAAACGGATACCATCCTAGTGTTACTGAATCTCCGGAGCCCCAACTAAGCTCTGTACCTTTAACTAAAACCGTTCTCCACCCGCAGCCGCTTTCCAGCTACTGGCAGTAACTCTAACTCGCAATCGCGCCGGGAGGAGGCCCCCGACGAGGTCTCCCCCATCCCTTGGAAACCTCAACCAAAGGCTACCATCGCGAACCGGGCTCAGCACCTCGGAAACCAGCCCACCGCGGTTGGCGCTTCTCCGGAGGGGGGATCGGGCCTGTTGCAGAGGCTTCTCAGCCCCGGACCGCGGGCTACAGGCCACTCCCGGGCAGTCGGCCCGGCGTTTCGGGGAAACTCCACGCCCAGCGCTGCGGGGTTACCTCTGCACCCCGCGCTCGCCGCACCGGTGCAAAAGGCGCCCTCGGCTCACGGCCGGCGGCCTCGGAGGATGTGCAACGGGCTGTTGTGGGTTTGGGGATTGCTGGGGTGGGGTTAGGTACACCGAAGGGGCGAATGTCGGCTGCGCGACGAAGTTCGGGGCCAGGTCTGGGGATGAGGGGGCACGCGGGAAGGGTGAGCACGCTACCTGCGGGGCGATGGGGCCCCAAACCCTGCCTTCCCAATTCCTCCCCGCCCCCAATCCATTGGGGCCGGAAGCCCAGCCTCCATGCTCCCACCTCCTGCGCCTCGCCCTGTGACGTCACTCTGAGTGACGCGATTACCATCCAATGAGCTCTCAAATTCTGGGAACCGCTCGCATCCTTCACGGTAGCAGCGCGGAAGGCAGCCGCGGAGTCCTCCTTACGATACCAAGAAGTGACTTGTAGGTTAGAGTTAGTTTAGGGGACGTCTGTAGTATAGAGACCAAAACTGCGTTTCCCCCCTCCCTGCCTGCCCACATTCTGTAGTGTCTACTAAGGTCTGATAGTCGCCTTGGTAACCCATCTTGGAGTCACTAATATCATCGCTTTGATGTTTTCTCCTCTGTCCCTTCAAACTCTGAAACTGCCTAGAAGTCTCTGGTTGGCAGAGGAGGTTGTGGGGTCCGGGTAGCAGAAGGGACAACACTGGGAAGGAAAACTCTCTTCTGCAGGCTCGAAGGCTGGAATGCTACTGAAACCTTCATACGGAATTTGAATTTCACTAAAGAAACTGGTTTCTAAATGTTGTCGCTTATTATTAATTTGTGTAGAAATCTCCACATTTAAGATATATTCTAAGCCGGGCGTTGGTGGCACACGCCTTTAATCCCAGTACTTGGGAGGCAGAGACAGGCGGATCTTTGTGAGTTCGAGACTAGCCTGGTCTACAAGAGCTAGTTCCAGGACAGCCTCCAAAGCCACAGAGAAACCCTGTCTCGAAAAACCAAAAAAAAAAAAAAAAAAAAAAAAAAAAGATATATTCTAAAGTAGCTATTAGATAAGCATTGCAGGTTTGGGGAGACTTCTGTTCCTACCATGGGCAACTAAGCCAGCTTTGGGAAGTCAAAGTTCTGAAAACATTTTTGTTCCCACTCATTTATCTGGCTTTCAATTTTTTTCAACTTTATCCCCCCCCCAGAATCTTATGTAACATAGGTTGTTCTAGAACTTAACACGGGTATCAGAAAGTGGTCTTGAACCCCTGAACCTTCTGTCTGCCTTTCCAGTGCTTGAATTACAAGTGTGCAACATTACGACCGACTTTGGCTCTTTATGTATGTATGTATCTTTTTTTTTTTTTTCTTTTAGAGACAGGGTTTCTCTGTATTGTTTTGGAGGCTGTCCTGGCACTCACTCTGTAGACCAGGCTCACAGAGATCCACCTGCCTCTGCCTCCCAAGTGCTGGCATTAAAGACGTGTGCCACCAACACCCGGCAGTTCTTTATTTATTTTTGTTTCATCTATCTATCTATTGGTTTTTCTAGACAACTTTTTTCCCCCTGTGTAACAACAGTCTTGAGTGTCCTGGAACTTGCTTTGTAAATCAGGCTGGCCTCGAACTCACTGAGATCCACCTGCCTCTGCTTCCCAAGTGCTGGGCTTTATTTTTCTGAGACAGGATTTCATTACGTCATGGCTCTGGCTGTACTGGAACATGTTATGTAGATCCACTTGCCTCTGCCTCCGGACTGCTTAGATTTAAAGGGTATGTATCACCATGCCTGGCTCAAATTTTCCTCTACCTTTCTTTTTCTGAGAACTGTGATGATAAAATTATGAGCTGTACAAAATAGAATCGTTTCTGAAGACTGGGGGCAATAGCTCATGCCTTTCATCATAGTACATGAGAGGCAGACAGGCGGATCTTTGTGAGTGCGGGGTCATCATGGTCTACAAAGTGAGTTTCAAGACAGCCAGGGCTACACAGTGGGGTCCCTGTTTCAAAAGAGCCAAAAAAGAGAAAAGAAAAAAGAAATTCAGGCTGCTTTTAATCCACAAAAGTGTATTTCAACTAAACCGAATGGACTACTTAAAATCAGCAAAACCTTTCAGTTCGGCCGCTAGGGGTCCCCTTGTGCATGGCGGACAACTTTCCACATAAGGGTTTCCTTTCACAGTGGAATTAAAATTTACAAAGCTTACCCCCTCCTTCCCCGCCTTCAGACAGGGTCTCACTATGTAGCCCTGGCTGGCCTGGAACTCACTGAGATCCTCCTGCCTTCTGATCACCACACCAGGTCAAAGCTTTCTTTTCTCTCCCTGAAAATTCTGATTATAAGCTTTGCAATAATAATTTTAATATTGATTTCATAAGTGAATCATTGCATTATCATAAACGTACTTTTCTGGAAAAGATTAATAAAGGATGCAAAAAACATTCCTCTCATTTCACAATGAGATATTTTATATTGGAAAAATTCTTATCCATGCATTATATTCATTTACAAACAGGCACAGTAAAATAAGTATTTATAATCCAGATGAACTATCCCATGCCCAATATTTGAAACATAACGTAGATTTTCTGGCATGGTTACAAGTCTGTAAAATAAAGTTGGGCAGGGGGGATAAGAACCCTCTTATGAAGCCCATTTGCTTGGAGCAATGAACACTTTCTCCAGGCTTGTATATTTTATCAGGCTTGACATTTGGTTTTCACAATAAATGTAAATTATATCTATCCACCTACCTATCTATCCTCTATATCTAAACTTTTTTTTTCAGAAGAGAAACCCCCCAAAAATTTTACTGCCATAACTCCAAGAAACCTGTTTCTGTCTTGAGAAGCTGTTTGCTCATTTGCCATGAAAAAAGTAAGAATGGTTTGAGCCTCAGAATATGTTAGATTCTGAAGACATAAAGCATTATATGTGCCTATTTCCCAAAATAAAATCTCTAAGGACATTTATGAGCTCCTTAAGTGGGAAATCCAAATGCCTGATCAAAAAAGCAAGCCTATTCTAGGAGAAGGAAGTGCAAAGGACTGGGAGAGGGTCAAGATGGGTTCATATCACTTCCCTTGTTCACCTTTCGTGTTTTACAAACTTGCCTATTCATGAATGCAATTTTCTTTAAGTTGTAGTAATACACAAAGGATAGATTTAAAATAGTGAAAAGCCTGGCCCAGTAGTCCTAGACTATGATCTCAGCTACCGGGTAGGCCGAGGAAGGAGGAGTGCATGGGTCCAGTTGGAGACTAGCCTGGGCCACATAGTAAGCCACAGCTCAAAACAAATAAGATTAAATAGAAAATGGTTACAGATTAGCTGGGAATGGTGGTTTGTGTTAATAATCCCAATACTCTGGAGGCTGAGGCTGGCAGATTGGCATAAATTCAAGGCCAACTTGGGTAAAACAAAACTTTACAGATTAACTGTAAAGTAGGCTAGGGAGGTGCCTCAGCAGAAATGTGACTTACATGATGAAACTCTGGAACCAGCTTCCTAAAACTCACTCTGTAGACCAGGCTGGCTCAAACTCACAGATATCCTCCTGCTTCTGCCTCCTGAGTGCTGGGATTAAAGGTGCATGTCACCACACCAGGCATAATTAATAACTAAAAATTAATAATGGCATAATTAACGTTAATTTATTAAAAATAAAATTAATAGTATCCTCCCCCCCCAAATGGTGTCACAGGCCTTAATTTCGGCACTTGGGAAGCAAAGGCAGGAGAACTATATGAGTTCGAGGCCACCTTGGCCTACATAAAGGGTCTGGGACAGTCAGGGACCCTGTCTAAAAAATTTAAATAAGTAAAATCAATTGAATTGTTTTCAGTATTACCCTTAGTATCAACAGTCATGTTAACAAACACATACACATTTAGTGCCCATTAAAATCACTGAACTGGCCGGGCTGTGGTGGCACACCCCTTTAATCCCAACACTGGGGAGGCAGAGGCAGGAGAATCTCTGTGAGTTTGAGTCCTGCCTGGTCTACAGAGTGAGTTTTATGACAGCCACGGCTGTGACACAGAGAAACCCTGTCTCGAAAAAGACAAAACAACCCCCCCCACAAAAAACCCACAAAATAAGTCAAATCACTGAAATGTAGAAATTTTGTAAAATTCTGAGGTGGTGGGCTGGAGAGATAGCCCAGCACTTGCTCTTGCAGAGAGGTCTAGGGTTCGGTTCCCAGCACCCACGTAGTTGCTCACAACCATCCATAACACCAGTCCCAGCAGATCTTCCCCGGGGACGAGGCATGCACAATATACATGTGAGCAAAAGACCCATAAGCATAAAATTATAAAATCTTCAAAAAAAATTCCGAGGTGGTATTTGAAAAGAGGAACAAACACATCAGAAATCTCTCGTAATGGTAGGAAACAGCTCGAGCACTGTAGTGTGTGTGGAGAGTATGACACTTTGTAGCGATAGGGTTCCGTAATTCTCAGAACAGAAAGCTACAGTGTATATCGGTTTCCTCATCTGATCGCTCCGTGCGTTTCTTTTGTAAGTTCACGTCTCTGGTTTGGACGTTCTAAGTAATTACCACCGGGCCCCGGGAAACTACATCTGCACTCCCCTTTCGAGACTGTTTACCCGGCCCTGTCATTGTCTTACTCGTATTTCCTAGAATGGGGAGGGCTGGAGGTTTGCAGAGCACTGCCTCCTTCCTCTCACTCTCGGGTGACCGCTCTGGGACAAATACCCCCACGTCACTCGGTGCGGAGGTCTGGCCCGGAGCAGCGCAGCAGGGCCCGGGCACGTGACCCGCCCGCAGTCCTCGCTGTGGCCCGCGGCCCGGGATGCAGCCGCGCTGACGTCCTCCTGGTTACCCACAAGCCTCTGTGCCCCGGTGCGGGCAGGAAGAGGGCAGCCGGGTCCAGTGCCTGCCCAGGAGGTCGGGTGCCTTCTGAGCCGCGCGCGGACGCTGCCCGGCGCCCCCCAGGGCTAGCACACTGGCAGCCTTCCGTCTCTCAGCGTGGCAGAAAGGGAGACTTCCCGGCTCAGGCTCTCGTCCTAGAGCGCTGGCAGCCCCCGGTCGGGACGCGGGGGGCCAGCGCGCTCTGCTGACAGCTGTCAAGAGTGACAGCGACTCCCGAACCTCAGCACTCCCGGGTCTAAGAGACCGCGTGCGGGTCACCAGGTTCTTCCTAACGTCTAGGAACTGTAGAGCAGGGCCACTCGAGCTCCATATGGCGTCTAGTACGTGCTGCCGTTTAGTAAGTATTAGCCTCGCAGGCCCGACCTGGCCGCCCCTCCGCACCAGCCCTTCCTGTCCCTCTGCCTCATCGCCTGCGGTCTCGCGTCGGCTCCTGACTCTCGCGCGCCCCTCCTCTCCGCGGCTGACAAGCCTCTTCCTCCTTCGCTCCCAGCGCCCGGGCCCAGGACTTCATTTCCCGGCAGGCACCGCGGCCCGTGGCCAATGAGGGACCTAGGATTTGGCGGCGCCGCCGCCGAACGGGGCGGGGGGGCTTTGTGCGCGGAGGCGGCGGCGGCGGCGGCGGCGGCGGGGACGGCGGCGGCGGGGACGGCGGCGGCGGGAGCTGGCGGCGCGGAGATCCGGACGGAGGCCAAGGCCGGGGCTGGGTGCCGGGAGCTTAGGAGAGGTGTGCAGCTTTCGATTGAAACCCCGGATCCCGCTGCCCTTCGGGGCCGCCAGCCTCCGGCTCCTCTCCAGCACCAGCAGCTACTACTCGGCGACCCCCGTCCGGCCACCTCCCCTTCGCTCCGCGTCGCCCGCAGCCTTCCGTCAGCCCGCAAACGAGCCTGGCCGGCCGGGCCGTGGCCCTCCTCAGTGCCGGCAGCCATGGCAGGGGCGCTCGGCGCGGGGGAAATCTAGTCCGAGGATTTCATGAGGCCTAGCTCGGTTCCGTCTCCTGCGCCCGCGGTCCCGGCAGCTGCCGGCAACCCAGCCCCACTTCGGGCCTCCGTGTCTCTCCTGTGATCGCACTGACACGGCCGGGGGGTTAGAATGGAACAAACTGAAGGTAAAGTGTGCGTGCGTGCGTGTGTGTGCGTGTGTGTGCTTGTGTGTGCTTGTGTGTGTGTTGCGCGTCAGGGCTGAGGAGGCTCGTTGGGGTGGGGGCGACCTAAAACCCAGACACCGGTAAGGAGTGAGACCCTGAAAGGGGAGGTGCCACGGGTGGTGAAAGGGTTCGAGGAAGGAAGAGCAGATGGTAAGGTGGGTGTGGAAGGAATTGGGAGGTGGGGCAGGTAGGCTTGGGATATGATGTAGTGGTGCTGAGCTGGGAATTGGGAGTAGAGGTGGGATGGGGGCGGGGATAAGGATGGAAACGGAGGAGGGGGAGGGAAAGAGAAGAGTTAGATTTGGACATTAGAGACCTCGGCAGACTGCAAATTAGGGAGGTCTGGAATGGAGTGTGGAAACTAGAAGAGTTGGGGAAAAGGGATAGGATTGATGGAGAACGAGGCATCTTCTGGGAACCAAGGGAGAAACTAGTGAATCAAAGTGGGGAAAAGATAAGATTAGGAAATAGGGATGAAAAATGATTGTGTCAGGATGCAGTAGGAGGATAGGAAATAGACGCAGGAAACTGAAAGACATACGATTGGGCTAGGGAAGGACATTAGCTGAGTGTTGGGAGGGATGAGAATTATCGACCAGGCGTCAGAGTGTGAGGAAAAGGATGGGGATTATTGAAGTGTTAGAAAGGAAAGCCTTTTGTTCCTATATTGGTGTGTATTCCGTCTTGTATTTCAAGGCTAGAGAAATAGAGAAGCTAGTGGTTATGGGGTTGTGATTGTTGTGAAATGAGGGAGGTGTGGGTGTTACTGTTCTGAGAGAAGAGAAGATGTGTTTGTGTTATGGTAGGGAGACAGGGAGAGACATGGCCATAATTTGGTGGTTTTGGTGAGGGAGTGAAGACTATTCAGATTTAAAGGGGGCAGGGGCAGCCATGTTTGCTACCAGGCACTGCAGTGTAAATAAATTCCTTTTCCTCTCCGACATCTGCGTGAATCTGGAACCGACCAGTTCACATTGTTACACCCCTCTTCTATTCATGAACTTCTCTTACCTCTTGGGTCATTTGCAATTACTCATAACTACCAAAGAAGGTAGCGATGTTTTCCATCTTGTGTGTTTTGCTGTTTCTCCCTTTCTCCCCCTCTTCCTTCTGGTTGAAAAAAAAAAAAAGCATACTGATAAATTGCAGTGTAAAATTTAACCCTTTTTATAAATTTAAAATTAGGTTCTTTTTTCCTGACTGAAGAACTCATTACTACCATTTCAAACATGATTGTGGAAATTCTTAAATATTGATTGGTTTCAGACACCTCAGAACCAATTCAACATGATTTTTTTCAATTCTTTAAGTAAACAAGGAAATTGCATTGGTTATTTTACCTGGAGCCTTCTTAGGAAGGGGTGGGGAAGATCAGTCAGCCTGTGGTAGATAATCTGCTTGCCTAATTTTGGATATTGGAAATTTAGAAATGTTCCTGGCGATAGGTGATATGCATGCTGTTATGAATAATGCTTTTTTTAAAAATTAGCTTTTTACTACCTCTTCCCTTTGCTTTCACATAGTCTCCGAATGCCGGTTCAGCATAGCACTGAGATCTGTGAAGTAGACATGTAATGCTTAGCTCCTCATTGAGTTGCCAGCTTCTAGGGGGTGGGTGGGTGGGAAGTGCTGTCGCTCTCATGAAAGCTACAGTGATTCTTTAGTGCATTCTGATAAAACTACTTGTATGGTTCTAAATAGCTATGAAGGGTCTAAATCTTGACAAAGTAGATATATTGGTATTGGGTGAAATCTACTTCTTTTCATATGGAAAAGGATCAGTATGTGCCTTTCTTAAAAAAATAATTGTAATTATGGTAATCCAAACTTTAGCTCATGTGCTAGTATTGAAACTATTTTCTAATACCAGAAAGTCCTGTTAACTCTATAATGGACTCAATCCATTTGCACTACAGACTGATTCAACAAATTTTAATAGTAATGTTCTCTCAGTCTTTATAGAGTTTGGTGGAAAACTTTAATATTGTTGGAATTGTTGGAGTGGTTCTTTCTTTTTTTTTTTTTTTTTTTTTTGGTTTTTCGAGACAGGGTTTCTCTGTGGCTTTGGAGGCTGTCCTGGAACTCACTCTGTAGACCAGGCTGGCCTCGAACTCACAGAGATCCACCTGCCTCTGCCTCCCGATGGAGTGGTTCTTTCTGAGATTAGACTGAGCATAAATGTTGGATTTATAACTCAGTGTTTTGATTTGACAGTATATAGCCTATTTTTTTAAATTCTGGAGACAAATTCCATTCAAAAAAAGCTATTCACCCTGTACTTGAAATTTATTTTGATACAGGTATTTTATGTCTATTTTTTTTTGGTTGACATATTCGTAAACTTATGTGCATGAACTATCAGTGCCACCATTTTTAGGAAAATGAGCAATTGTATATTATATAGCAAACATCTATTTGGAAGAGTGCTCTGTTCTGGGCTCCTTGGATAGGTGTCCATTCAGTGAAGAAAGCTGCTGTAGTTAGTTAACACCTGAAATCTATGTCTGTGCTGACTGCTACTGTGCTCATCGGCAGCCTAGTTGGTACTTGAAAAAAATTTTTTATTATTTTATTTTTTGTATATGAATGATTTACCTGTATGTATGTCTGTGTTTACAGAGGCCAAAAGAGGGAGGGTATCAGGTCACCTGGAATTGGAATTATGTATGGATGGCTGTGAAATGCCATATGTGTGCTGGAAATTGAACCTAGGTCCCCTGGAAAACCTAGTGCTTTTATCCACTGATTCATCTCTCTGACTCTGATATTGTTTTATTTATTTTTTGAGACAGAGTCTCATATATCCCAGGCTAGCCTCAAACTTTAAATATAGCTGAGGGTGACCTTGAACTTCTGATCTTTTTCCATTTCCTGAACATGCTGATAGTATAGGCATGTGCTAGCATGCTTAGGGTATGCGTCCCACTAGGATTTTGATGCTTGCTAGACAAGCACTTTGCCAACTAAACTACATCCCTCTTCCCTTTTTTCAGATAGCCTTCAAATGATTAGATTAAAGGAATTTTGAATGAAGGAAGCTAATTGCCCACAAAACTGTTTGTTTATTTATTTATTTATTTATGGCTCAGCTGCCCAGAGTAATTCTAAAGACAATAGATTCTGGAATTGTAAAATAATAACGATAATATATAGTAATATAGCAGTAGTTGTCCTCTTGCAGTATGCTATGCTAAGTGTCCTACATGAATGATCTCCTTTTATCTTCCTTGTGAATTTCTGAGATTCTACCTCCAACTGCTTTTGCAAATGGAGAAACAGGTTAGATAACAAGATTGCAAGTGTTATTAAATATTTAAATTACCAAGCTGGTATTTGAGTTTAGGTCTTTTGAGTTATAGAACCCAGGGCAGGAAACTGTTTCTGTTAGTTTCTTCTTTAAAGTCACAGGAATAACACATGCTTATTATTTAAAATATTTCAAAAGAATAGTGCTCCCAGTTGTCACTATAACTTCTTGGAAGAGTCTTCAATGTCCTAGACAGTTTCTGTGGATTTACTTAACATACATATAATGTGCTCACACTCTAATTCTAGAACCCAGGCCTCTGAGCTACACCTTGGCCTTTTCTTACTTTATTTTGAGTTGCTCAGGCTGTCCTCAAACTTGATATCCCCCTGTTTCAGTCTTGCATGTATCCTAGATTATGATACCACAGCACTGCTACTGTTTTGCTTTAATCAGTCAGCAGGCATGTGGACCTACAACTTTTGTTTTAGAATCAGGTAGTGGTCCATTATTTAGAATACTACCACTTAAGTTAACCCGTTTGTTTGATTGTTTGTTTTTGAGGCAGGGTCTCACTATGTAGCTCTGGCTGTCCTGGAACTCCTTATGTAGAGTAGGCTAGCCTCAAACTCACAGAGATCCATCTGCCTCTGCCTCCCAAGTGCTGGGATTAAAGGTGTTCCCCATTAGGTCCAGCTAAGTTAACGATTTTTTGGCTATTACCAGAATCTAGTTAATTTTGACTACATTTGTAACAGTCTGTTTGAATGGAAGGTAAATGGTACAACCTAACTCAGGATTTTACAGGAGAAAAATCCTGAGGCCTACAGAAGTGAAGTCCAAGGCTTTGGCTCTCAAGACCACATTACTTTGCTTCCTTACTAGGAAAGTCTTTGAGCCTGTCTTTAAAGCTAAAGGGGAGAGGGAGTGAGCTGAGGTCGGGCACCCTTAGCATCCTGAGTCCAGGGAGCTGCAGCGAGGCAGGGCTCATGCTCATGTCTTTTTCACACTTCCATAGGTAGCATGTGCACAGAGTGGTTTATGTGCAAATGAATTACATGCAGGCTATCTTGAGGTTTGGGTTTTGTGTGAGGAAATAGGTTTTGGCAGGATTTTCTTTGTTGTAATAAAATTGTCAATGAAATAGTTATCAATGAAGAAAACCAAAACAAAAAACCAGAAGCCTTGTCTTGGTCCTAAAGTAAAATTGAGACGCTGGTCAAGTTTTCTTTGTTTTTGTTTTTAACAAGCTGAAAAATCCCTAATTAAAACCATTAGTTTTAAAAACATCTCAGGCAGGACATGGTGGTGCTTGCCTTTATTTTCAGCACTTGAGAGGCAGAGGTGGGTGGATCTCTGAGTTGAGGCCAACCTGGTCTACATAGTGAGTTCCAGGACAATCAGACATAGTGAGACCCTGTCTCAATAAAATAAAACAATAAAAAAAATCTCAGGAGACACTGTTGATTTATTTTTTAATTATTTTTTCCTATAAAAAATAAGTGACCATGAATTCATGAACTCACTTACACTCACTGTGTAGCCCTGCCAGCATACCTAATTCATGCCTTCCTCTGTCTTAGTCCTTTAACTGCTAGAACTACAGTTTTGTGCCACTGTGCCCAAATTACTGAATCTCTTAAAGCAAAAAGTCTTACCTGTTGCAGATATGAAATGAAAATTATTGTTTAATTTTGGTGTGAATGTATGTCTC